GGAAACTCCAGTGCGTTCAACATGATATCTCGTGCACAACACTCCGAGGCCAAAAGCGGACACCTTGTTTAGGTAAACACGTATCGCATTGCATCTGCGATCTCTTGGGTGGTTCAGTGGATCGCAATCCGTATCCATGCATCGGTAGTGGGTGTGTTTTTCAGGGAAAAGACTCTTTTTCAAACAATATTGCGCGCGAGATGATGGAAATTTTTCTGCTGTGCTCATAAGCGGCTCAAGATGTGAAAGCTCAAGAGAGATCAAGGCGTGAAAATTTGTGTGAAAATTCATCTGCTGTTCTTGTTTCAGTGACCATCTTCGGGACTATTCTCTAACCGGTTAGACCAGTATTCCCGCCTTTGCTGTGGACAATGACAATCTCAGCATTACCGGGCATGCTTATGAGTGCAGAAAACCGAGTTTTAGACAATTTGGGTATAATTTCTGTACTAGAGAGCATGGAATTTGATACTCAGTGATATATGATAAATATTTAAGGGGACACCACGAGTCTACGCAGAACCATGATTCGTATACTGGGGGTTCAGGTATACGCCTCTAGACCTGACTTCGATGCAGACTCTGGTTTTAGTTTAGCAAGACGTACATACCTTGTGACAACTAATAAGACAGAACAGCGCATGTGGCAACGTGTCGAGACGCTTTTCGTCACATCAATCGCTGCGTTGTTTGTGACGACACTTCACACCAGTCACGATTTCGCTTGATAGGTTGTCCAATCACACGCCACTTGTTCCTGCATCTTGGAAGTGAGAGTGGCTCAAGCTCCGCCCCATCACCACAACATCAACAATACTTGACACTCATGTCCCACCTTTGTTTCTCAATAAGACTTCACGGATAATGAGTCTGGTACTATACATCATAGAATATTCTCTGTCCCCGCTGTCAGAGCATGTGCTCAGCGTCAAAGGCGCGACGCACTTGTGTCGCAGATAGTCGGTGCTCTCAGCCTTTCCACTCGCCATCTCAGTCATCAGCATAACCCGGACGATGCGTTACGAAATTCGATTCTCATTTATAACCATGCGGTAAACGACATCCAACCAAGTTCCCGAGAGTACTCCAGGCAGTGCGCATAACGAGACGAATCGTGTCGTCCTGACCGCGCGTTGATGATGCCATAAACCAAACAGCAACAGACGCGATTAGACTTGGATCACGGCCATTTACGGAGGCACATACCTCTTTGGAATGATCAGAATTTCGGTGAATGAACAAATACTTTCAACTGACGATAAGATTACAACTTTCTCAGCTTGTCCAGGCAGATAAATATTCGTCGGAAGAGATCAACTCTTTGGAAAACCAAACTCCAAATCCCAGGCCATCAGAGGAACCAAAACGTATATAATAAGATCATCAGAGAGCCAACCCAGAGGCAATGTGCACGCTAAATCCATACTCCGGCAAAGAGAACATGATACATCTGCCAAGGTACGGGGTATAAGACAGAAGCTTTTCAAGGACCCGGTCGTGGTGTCAAAGCCACGGCTGGCACATGCACAGCATCAGGTGCTTCGTCGTATTCGTTGTGTGATCGGGATGGGTGCATTTACGAAGACATTAGTCTCATCAGCAATGCGAGATTGCTTCTCTTCGTATTCAAGCGAAGACATCTTCAGATCCTCGATTTGAGCCTGTCCTTGTCAGTCTCCGAGTAGCAGTACATGGACCAGGTTGTGTACCTTGGTTAGTGGAGGCCCAATTGTCGTGATCAAGAAGCCGTCACGTCCCTGGCCAGCGGATCAGCACTTGTCATATAGTGCAAGAGCGACTACCAAATACCTGGAAAGTGTAGGGACGCACTATCGCATCCGGGCCGCAATGGTATCGGATCTCGTTCTGGATGACAGCTCTTGAGATACCAAAGCCTGGCACAAAATAAGAGTTGGGTACCGCCATGTTGTTTGAGTTGGATTGATCACGAGAGGAGTTTGTGATGGAGGCCGGATTATGTTATTCGTTGCGTGTGGATAGTAGAATTGAGGTTGGGCACGCAGAAGACTTATACACATGACTAAAGGCCTTTTGTCCCGGATCCGCTTACATCTAACACTTACACCGGTCCCTCTCGGGGCGAAGGTGCGACGCATCCGTTGCGACCAAGTCCTCGTTGGGCGTGGACGCACTGATGCCTTTCGCCTCATTGTTCGCCCTGCTCAGCCCAACCAACGCCATTGGGCAGCGAGAAAGACCGAACCGCAGGGCACCCTTTACAAACCGACCGCTCACAAAGTTTCCTAACTCGTCGAGAAAAACTTGGCATCTTGAACAGTCCATGGCTGAACTCGATATGCATTACATCTCGGCATTAACGTCTGAGAAAGCCAGCACAGCTGCCACGTCTATAGATTCGGGTTGTACAGAATGACTGCGGACACTTTAAGACGATCTCTTTGCCACCACGACCTCAGAAGAGCTTTACAACACTCTCCTCTTCGCTTTACACCCTCCTAGAGGCATAATCTGACCGGCTGATGTTGACGACGCACCAAGAGCATCTTGGCCAACACACACACCATGCCGATCATCGTTCAGAAGGCGTTCCATGATTGACACCGGCTATCATCCCACGGCGTCCACACCAAGAGGACGGTGACATGGTGTGAACAAGTCGGATGTGCTGGTTTCACCGCTAAATTTCTCGGGCACAAGGTCTCCATGGTCGCAGGGAGCAGGGAGACCCCTTCAGGTACGCCACACACACTGGGTATGATTGCAGCAAGATGGTACATAAATATGCGAAAGCCAAACTACCCAAGCTTTCATACTGAAATACCATTCGCCTGCTCATGAGTGTTACGCATCAACCCTACTTGGGCATCCGGGCTTCTCCCGCGGCGGACCAACGCAGCGCCAGCACGAAGTGGCAATACACAGCCTGTCCATGATGTAAGCTTGGGTTACCCCGCTTGTCATTATGTATACGATCCGGCGCTGTCAGTGGGAGTAACCGCAGTGCAATATGGAGATGGGTGATGAAACGCTCAAGAGTCGTCACTCTTTGTTGGATGTGAAACTGCTCGCGGCTGGGGCTCACCCATACCGTACTTGAAGCAGAATGTCTTGCCTAACCGATGCAGTGCAAAGACGACGCTTTGCTTTTTCCGGGCTTGCTATTTCATTCAGGATCGTTACCGGATCGGCAATCTGGTGACGGTCACGGCTCTTGGAGAAGGTGCATGAGTCGCGTACACGTGTGCGAGGGAGACGAACATGTGCCCAATGCCCGAGATCCAAGCACCTGTCACGGTTACAGGGCATACCCTTCATGCGTCGGGCTTACCGCGCAAGTTCTGCAATGCAATCTGCTCGTACGCCAACTCACCTTGCATGAGCCCGAATCCAAACGACATATGACTGCTTTGGCTGGCATGATGGTTCCAAAACAAAAGGATCTACGACTACATTTTACTACCATAGAAGACGTGGAACCGTATAGGAACCTCTGCTATCGGTATTACTGCGGTTGTACAAGGTGCCCTGCTACGGGATATGCAGCATCACGCCATACTAGACAGGCACGGCGTTGAGCATTTTAACGATGAATGGAGATTCTGCAGAAGGTGACGTAACCCAGTACAGTCTGAAATTCGTACAAGATACAGCCGGAGATTCCATGGCTCAGTCGGAAGAATGGCGGCGATGAATCTGTCTCTATAGCGGGATGGAAGGACGCATGCGGGGTACGGACATAAAGTCTGCGGGGCGGGAGAATCACCTTCCCCGAGCAGAGTAGTAGTATGTCTGCCAATGCAAATGCGCCTTGTTCTCCGAAGCCGCTCGCCTGTGCTCGGCGGATAGACAAAGAGCTATTCACCACGAGGCTGCCTCGGTTCCTGGCCAATGCAGTCACCGGCGTGGCCTGCAACCGGGACATGGCCCTAGCTTGCGATTTCACGATAACGACAAGTCCCGACGTGTTGGCCAAGCAGCCAGTGTGAAGCATCACTTTCTCGAGATTGTATGAATCTTGTATGCCCAGTTGCCACGCCGAATCAAAGACGCGTCACACTCATGGATACCAGGATACCTAGCTCTGTCGCCTTAAGTTCCCGTTGATAGCAGCACCGGATGCGGAAAGGTCCTGGCGATGGATCGCTATTGACCCACAAACGTCGTGTCAATGGGATGCTGCCGCCTCCCGCCATTTTCTTTCAGACTCCCGCTGAACATGTGTACGTGCTGATGGCAAAAGACGCCTCATGTGGTGATTGGGTAGGGTCAGTCACAAGAATGAAGCAGGGATATAGATACAGCTGGGTGTGGATCCATACCACATGCAAAGAATTGCAAGCGCGCGCGCTGGCTTGGAACGAGCAAGATGGGGTACCCACTTGCAATCAGCCTCCTCGTGTGTACCTGATTTGCAGGCACCAGGAGATGGCACGAAGGACGACTTGGTGTCATTGATACGAAACAGGCTTTAGTCACAAGAGGGACGCCGGTCTTGTTGTCGGAGAAGAAGGACGTATCACGACGTGCATCAGGCCAAAGGGGTCGGAATATGCTATTCTGGGGCCATTTTTTCTCACCTGTGACAGGCTTTTCGGTGTCTCAATAGAGTCCATGAATGCGCCACATGGAGGTTTGGGGGCTGGTCAATGACTTGAAAAGTGAGGCCGCTAGGTTCACGAAGATTGCTGCAGAATGCCGATCATACTGCCAACAGAGCATACCGGCAACGGGACGAGGATGCATCCGTTGCGGAACAAAAAGGAAAACAAGAAGATTCCAATGATGAGGCGTAGTATGAAGAGTGGGATATGAGGGATTTTTAGTTGGTACTGTGCTGGCTGAAGAGTAGTCAGCTGGGGGTCGTGTGTGGTGTCAAGGGAAATGACATGCGGATACGGACTGACGTAAAAAGGAAGATGTAGGAAGAGAAGAAGCCTTTGTTTTTGTTTGTACATTTGATTTCCTCTCTGCTAGTGGGAGATAGATGGTACGAGGGGAGATTGAAAGGTGAGATTGCAATGTCCGGCCCGGTTTCGATACAAGACTCTGCCAAAACCCCTCGGACACTTTTCACTGTCGTTTGTTTCTTGTCGTCCTGGCCTCTTGGATTCATACCTCTAAGTGTTTCTTTCTCCACCGGGCTTGAGCGGCATCGATATTACTTTGACGTCCTTCATTTCCCAAGTGACGAACGAGGGCACGAGACCACAATGAAGACAACATGTTGCCCTTTGGAAGACTTCAGAGACGCGCAATCTATGCGACACGCAGGTGATGCTACCGTCGCATGCAAAGGTAACATTTTGAGGCCCAAGAGGGGTTGTGTGTAGATAGATGGACAGCTGTCGTGTATGCTTTTAACGTATCTTTTCTTGCACAGGGCGCAATGACGCGTCAACAGGGAATAGGGTCAAGCATGTAGTCTCTTTTGCATCTGCTACGTTGCTTACGATGGTGATGTTGAGCTGTTGGACTGGAGCTGCGACGGTGAGACATGGGCGTGAGTTTGGTTGAATACGGGTAAATGATGGCCTAAGGATCAAAGTTGGACATGAGTCGAGAATACAGTTTGTGGGCTATTTTCAGCCGTTCGAGTGGGTCAAATGGCGGGGGGAAGGAGGATAGAGTTTTGTACGACGAAAAGGAAACATGGAAAGTTGGTGGAGATGGATCTGAAGCGACGACAAGCCACGGGCGGAGACGAATGGTAGTATGTATAGTATAGTCGCGACAGCAGGTGCACAAAAACGGCATTAATGTAGTTGGGAAGAAGCATGTTTAGGCAAAAAAGGGGTGCTTGTGCATAATGGACGAAGTATTGGAAAGCAAGCGCAAGAGAACAGGCTATTGAAAAAAAAAGCCGAATGGGGAGTGGGCAAAGAATGCTTGCAGAGTGATTAACAGGTACCTGGGCCTATAAGATGGCTGCAAGGTTGAAGATGAAAAGAGTGGATGGCAGGCATGCCGAGGGCCAAAGAGGGAGGTGAGATGCGGCGGTCTCGACCGGTTGGGATCGGCAGCAACGAGGAAAAAGCCAAAGGGGCGTGGCCAAGGGGCGTGGCCCATGATGATATACGCAGTGCCATGTCTCTGCGAATGGACACAGTAAGACGCGGAGGCGGAACAAGGTGGCGCGTCGTCGTCGGCTTGTGGCGCGGCTGAGGCAAAGGAAATGAAAGGATGCGGATACGGGCTCGCTCCACAGAGGCGGACAACGACAGGCTTACAGCTTGTTTCGCAGCCAATGTTTGACAGGGTGAGCCAGGCAGCGGACGGATGCAGATGGCAGACAGACGGGCTCCAGCCACCAGGGCCGTGGTGTTGAGGAGCGCGGCAGTCGGGGAGTCGAGGGTGTTGAGGACACGGCGTGCCAGTGGCTTGCCGCAACAGAGGGGGGGCATTGGCGTGATAGGAGGACATGTGTACATTGGACTGAAGACATTGCTCCTGTGGCATCGAGGCCAGAATCTAGACGCGCAGTCTGACGAGGGCAGGGCCAATCAAGCGGTTGGCTGCGTTCGCGGCCGCTGGCACGGCTGGGCCTGCGATCAATAACAGTAGATTGGGCCGAGGCCGCTTGACCACCAACGGCCGGGTGGTGGTGAGGAGAGGCAGTTGGCCCGCAGCTGCTGCCCCGGCGCTTTCACCAGCACCCGTTGCCTACACTACATATATCACAACTGCTAGCCCACGCCTGATCGCCGCCTGTCTGCCGACGGCTTGCTACACCATCGCCGACAAGACTGCCTCGCAAGAGCATAGACGAGTCCCCCGGTCGACTTTGACGCTGTCCCACGGCCGGGCACGCTGCAGCCTCTGGCCCTCGCCCAACGAGACGAAACACGCGCGGCCCTCTCGGCCCTTGCCCACCCCCATACTTCCCTTCGCTCATCTTACAAGCCCGCCGCTGCGCACCCGCCGCCCACGGCCCTGCCTCTTTGTCTCCTCCTCCACCCAAACCACCCGCCCGTACGTCGCCGCCGCCCTTCTTTGCTGCGCGACTGTCCGCCCGCCTTTGTTCGCCGTCACTCGTTATTTGTCTTCTTGTCCGCCTTCTGCGCGCCGCCCTCTTTTGCTCGCCACCCGGCGCCGAACCCTCCTTCACAACCACCACCCACTCGCCCGCCGTTATTTCCGCCTCGAGCCCTGACTTGCCCGTAACCAGCCACCGCTGCACCCCGACCCGGGCGTCCCCACGTTGCCTTTTCTTCTTCTCCTTGCCGTACTTGTTGTTGTTGTTGTTCTTCTTCTTCTTCGTCATCGTCGCCTTCACCATCGCCATCATCAGGGTCCGCTGATCCCCTAACCGCCCACCATGTCTATCCGTGCGCTTCGAGGTACCATCCGCACCCGCCAGACGATCCCACATGGCCGCATACTAACCTGCTGCCAGACGCCGAAAACGTCTTTCGGATAGAGAAGCGATGCAAGCTGTGCGAGCAAGCACCGCTGTCCTGCGAGGGCATCCAGTGCCCGGCCAACCAGGTCTGTGTCCAGAACTCGCGAACATGCGACGAGTGCGCCTCGGTCAACTGCCAGGTCGACCCTACCTTTGCTCCACCTGAGCCCAGCAAACCAAACGTCGGCGCCATCGCCGGCGGTGTCATTGGAGGTATCCTAGCCGTCGCCATTCTCACATTCGTAGTCTGGAAGTACTGCCTCAAGGGCAAGAGGAGGCCCATTTCTTACCAGCCCGAATGGAACAATGTCGACGTTGTCGAGCAAGAAAAGGACAACGACTTCGAGTCACGCCGCAGTGCCCGCGCATCCACACACACCGTCGCCTCCATGGCCTCGTCCGTCCTCACTCGCGCCTCAAACATTATCCAAATCGCTTACATTCCCGGCGTCACCAACCGCTCGGGCAACCCCGGATCTCCCGACCTGCTGGTTCCTCCCGTCCCTCCGATCCCCTCCATGTCGCCTTCGTCGGGCAAGAGCAGCCCCTACGCCTCTGCCGACCAGCACTTCTTCGTCCCCGACTTCCGCGACTCCATGATGTCTTCTAGCACGGCCGGCCGCACCAGCATTGCACCGAGCCTTGCGCAACGAGGCAGCGTCGCTTCGACCATGTACCGCCAGAACGCCATTGTCTCCCCACTTCCGGCTCAGACCATTGTGCGTGGCAAGGCCGCCGTTGTTAGTGTAAAGTCGACGGGATCAAGCAGCCCTGGAGAAACACCCACCCAGACACCACCAGTGCCCTCGATCGACCCCAAGCACTCTCTCAAGCCTATTCGCATCCAAATGCCTGGTATCAGCCCAGCAAACTCTGTCCGTAGCACCGCCCAGCTCGGCCCGGTCAAGGCCCTCCATATCACCAAGAAGAAGAGCTCCGAGACCACCCCACCAAAGAGCTCAAGCTCAACCACGGATACCGAACGAACCCTAGTCAACACACCTGAACGTCGCGCCTCGGCCGGACGACCTCTCACTGCCAACTCCACGCTCTCATCCGACGATGGCAGGGAACACTCGCGCGCACGCAGGGGAAGCCTGGCATCGGACACTGAAGACGACGACGAGGACGACCACACACGCGCACACCAGACCCTTCTAGGTCAACCAGCCAACCGTGATTCCGATGTCACCGAATTCCAAGACACAACACCCCACATGGACAACAGCCCCTTTTCCGACAACTCATCGCTCGATAATGCACGACCCATGATGTCTCAACGCATCACATCATACGACCCGTCGTCTGGCCTCCGCACCCCAATGACACCCATTGTCGAAGAGTCATCGGCTTCAAAGCGAGGCAGTACAATCTCCAACCGAAGAGATACCAGTCCATTTTCAGACACCAACCGAAGTGAACTGTAATCGGAAGCTTTTTTATTTCGATTCTTTTTTTTTCACAATCGGAGGGGAACTTGATGTTACTGGTCGACATTGAACCCAGCAAGGCTGGGCCGAGCGAAAAAACATCTCTCTTCTTGTCCTAGTGTTTTTTGGGGTTGTTTTTCATTCTACGAAAATCAAATGGTCTCTGGGGAATTATGTGTATGGACCGAGGTCTGGCAATCTCGGATGCCATTATTTCGCGCGCGCGCTCTCTCTCTCCCTTCATCCTGTCTTGGATACCCTCTTCTTCATTTTTTTTTTGCACGCGCTCCCTCCATTTTATCTAGACATGTGCCTCAGTGTGCGTGTGTCTCTCTCCAAACCTTTTTCCCCCGCGTTCATTGATATCCCAAGGATCTTTTGCTATTTGCTTCTTTTTTTTGTCTCTTCCTCTCGGAAGATCATGATCTCTTCTTTTTTTTTTCTTCTCTTTCTCTTGTCCATACTTGACGTCTAGCGCCCGACGTACGTTTTCCTTTTTTTATATATTTTCTATATGTATCTACGAGGAAGGGGGAGAGGAGAAGGGGATGGACTCTCTGTTGTGAATTGAAGTTGTTGAAGTGTATGTAAAGAGGAAGTGGGTGAGAGGAATCAAGGGACGGAAAGCGTAGTAGTAGCTGGAGATATAGAAATAAGCCGTATTAGCACAAAAAAAGGCCAAGATTCGAGGAGAAGAGATTGAGCATGAAAAAGCCTTTTTTTCTCCCCCTCTCTCCTTGTCTTCTCCTTGCTTGTATGTTAGAAATGCAGTAGTAGTAGTGTTGATATATTATCAATTCCTCTTCCCCTTCCCTATGCTGATCTCTTTTTTTTTTGTCTTGAAAATCATACATATATCTCCTTCTCCCTTATTCACATACCCATGTGTATGCAACACATACACCCCCCCCCCCCTTCTCTCTTCGCATTAATCCCCAACATGGCACATTTTCCAACTATTCAACTTCCCCGATACGTCGTATACCCAAACGGCCCCAACAGCACCGGGACATGATAATGCTCGGCCTTGGCGCCCTCCCTCACCACAAACTTGACCTCGACCTCTGGAAAAAACGTCGCTATGCCCTTGTCCCCGAAATAGGCCTCCGTGTCAAACGTCAATCCGTACCGCTGGTCGCCCTCTGCTTGCGCAAACGCTTCGGCGAGGGTTGTCGACGAGAAGGGTGTGCTGGGTGTCCAGGCGGTTACGCGGCCGTCGGTGTTTGTTGTTGCGGTGAAGGTGAGGGTGGTGGTGGTGGAAGAAGAGGAGGAAGAGGGGTATAGAGTCAGTGTTACGGGGATGTTGGCAGCGGGGCGGCCGATGGTTGTGTCGAGGACGTGGCATGTGATTGGGGGTTTTGCGGGAGTGGTGGTGGTCATTGTGGGTTTTGTTGTTGTGGTGGTGGTGGTGGTGTTGCTGGAGGGTGGGGTTGGGGCGGAGAGGTGCGAGAGGAGGGAAGTTAGGCGTGGGGTGGAGGGAGTTGGCATTCGCTGGTGAGGATTCCGCAGAGGCGAGTTGGAGTGAGGAGAGGTGCAGCGGTGCAGCGGTGGGTCGAGGGAAGTGGTGCTGGTTTTGGGTTGTGAGGGAAGGTGGGTTGTTGTATACGATACCCCTCCAGCCCACCCCTTCGGAGCTCCCCGGTGCTAGGCAGGTACCGATACTACTACGAATATGGTATATTGTTGCATTCTGTGTCGTTTTCACGGCTGCAATTGGCAAGGGGAGCCACGCGAATGGATGAACTCGCCTTGATTTTATCTTTTTTCAATCGGCGTGAGAGACTGGAGAATTGTGCGGTGCACATGTGGTACCCTAACTTCATATCTCGTGCTATTCGCAAACAGAATATGTATGTGACGTGAAGGTATCGATGATCAACATCTTCTTCATGTTTTTGGCATATAAGGAGCGTTGGAAAGAATTGATGATTATGTACAGAGGGAGTCAAAAAGCACTACGTCAGCGTGTAGTTTTGTTTGGTGTGTAGACTTGACATCATGGTTATGTGGGAAAGAGCGACTCGAGGTTTACACCTATTCACACTACATGCCTCTTGTCAATATTCAGGAAAGACATGGAAATGTATGCAAGTGCGACGAATTACTGCATGATTGGATAAACAACAGCTTACGCAGAGATGAGCACGCGTGTTATGATTTGACAAAATTTCAAGTCAACCGTCGCACAATCATCGGCTACTATCACTCTTAAAATTCTGCACTCCTCAATTATGCTCTAAATCTAATCATTTTCATTATAGCTACAATGAGCGCAGTCCTATACACTACCCACACAATGCCATGCTCGTTTCTCATGAAGCATTCGGACACGCACCTTCACCATGTCCTCGGGTGCCACAAAAGCGAGTCATGACGTGCAAATGATCAGACGTGACAGACAATGTTTGTTTGTCTCATCTTAGTGGTACACTAAAAGGTATCGTCGATTGACAAACAACTCAGCTGAACTCGAGACAGTTTGACTGCAAGTAGGTTTTTTTCTCTCCTAGACCATGCTGGGAAAGGGGGGTTAGGTGTGATAGTGATGGATTCATGGCTAGATCACCTTGTCAACACGGGACCGTGGTTGTGGGATAATTGCAGTGCGACGTAATCTCCGTCTCATGGGTCTCTTCGCATACTTGGAAGACAGGGTATCGCACCGTTGCCCGATATCAACATACTACATGCATGCATCTTTTGGGCCAGTGAGAACAAGTTCAGCCGCGGACTTGCCAACAGCAGAAAACATGTCGTTGTCTACACCTACGGCATGTCGCCCTGAATCAGAGGTATGGTTGGCTGGCAGTAGTGGCCGTATTGACGGGAAAAAAACACCGTGCAGCAAAGTTAAATTGTCAGCAAAGCTGGAAATAGAATCGATGGTTTCCGATCACTTGTAGACCGAGTGCATATGATTCAGGCAGGTTAGAGAAGGTGGTGTGTAGCCGAGAAAAAACAAGCATGGCGCAAGAGTTGTTGTATGTGCGATTTGGAGAAACTGCCAGAGTGACGCAATGATGAAAGCAGGTCGACAAGGGACGTGGTTTTCATATTTGCTTTGCACGGACGCACTGCAGGTATTAGCTGCGGTCCATGCCTCGAGTGCTTTGTTGATTGCCAGAGCAGTCGAGAGTACTCAGCAAAAGGAATGCGAGTCCGGGGAAGCGGCAAGCCACCTATTGCTTTGATATGCACCGGTTTACGCCTTGGTTAGCGAACTAGCAGGGACACGATGGTTAGCTCGGGTGCGCGCATCAAAGACAGGCCCCCCTGAGCAGAAGGGGGCAGGCCCTGGTAGCAGATGGAGCGTCTGGCCGTGTCGCTGAAGGGGAGAGGGCAGTGACTTGGCGATGGTTGGGATCGCGATGGACATGGGAAAAAACAAGGCCATCCGGTCGAGGGGGGCAGGTGATTGGCAGGGCAGCGGCGAGGCCCGCGGAGAGGATGCTCTGGCATGCCTGGAGCCGATACAAAGGAGAGGGAAGCGTGGATCGACGAAACATGGGTGAATCGAGGTCTGGAACGGGACCGGCATATGGCAGAAAGGGAGCCGTTGGCCGTTATAGCGGGCCCAGCAGCTTCACTGGCGGTGGCAGCAGCATGACGTGTGAGGGTTAGTGGTGGTAGTGGTAGTGGTAGTGGTAGGAGTGGTAGTGGTAGGAGTGGTAGTGGTAGGAGTGGTGGTGGTGGTGGTCAAGGGGGTGGGTGTCCTGGTGGGGTTGAGTCAAGGCGTGTGTGCATGTGTATAGCACGAGGGAGGAGGATGGCGGGCGTGATATGTAGCGACATTGGGCAAGCAGTGTCGGCGTGCGGACAGTGGGAGTCGCAGGTAATATCGCATGGCGGCGTCGAGTCGGCAGCGCAGTGCGATTGCACTCTCGTGGCCGGGCGGCCAAAAGGGGGCTGGATCGGCGGGCGTGTGGGCGGAGGTGGGGCGTGGCCGGGCGTGATTGGCGGGCAGGCGACGAGGGCGGCAGTGTTTGATTACGAACCAGGAAATCACGTTATGTGCTTGGCGCTGGCTGCGTCACTCCCAGAAATTGCTCGCTCGTCCTGTCCTCTGACCTCATCGCGAACGCCTCACTGTCATCGTCACCACACGCACAATCCCCGTCCACCCGCCCGAATTTGAGCCTCATCGAGGTTCCAGCATCACGACCAGCACGCGCAAACCACAGCTCCGCAGCGCGGTGCAGTTGCCCAAGCCCAGCACCAAGCCCAGCGCCATCGCTGCTTCGCTACGCCCTGCTGCCACGGCCACCCAGCGTCGCCCCAGGGGCTTGACGTCACTACTGAAATTCGTCTGCCAGCATCTCAACCAGCTCTGCCACCACCTCGCCCACGTTCCACAGTATCGACTCTGTCCGATTCAGACGGCCCTACCCCGCATTGGCCGCCCGTCCTGTTCGCACTGCTGAGGTACGTAGTTGCGTCGCCCACGTCGCTGTTGTTGTTCTCGCGCCCGACTTTGCCACGTTCCCACCGCCTGCCACTGCCCCGGACCGCCGCCCATCCTCTCTTCGGTCTGCAACCACGTCTGTCGCGTCGTCGACTCCCAACCACCAGAGGCGCATGCGCTGACCCCTTTGACCGTGCTGTAGAAAGCGCAGCCCAAGCAGTTGTTTCAATCGCCAGCCAGAGCGCGCGCGCGGCCCTTGAAGCTGCCACCGACACGTCGCGTTGCCCCCGGCAAAAGTGCAAATAAGACGAGACAAGAGACGAGGCCTGAAAGCACCACCAGGCGATCGCCCTCGGTATCCCCGCTACGTCACCACCCCAAACTATGGCAGCTGCATCCCAGACTGCCCGAACCTCGTCCCCGTCCTCCAACATGTCTTCCCCCAAAGACAGCAAAAATAGTCTCACTGTCGTGACAAAGTCTGAAGGTGTGTAGCCTGACCTCCTCCTGCCCCCTTGTCTTCACCCCGTACTGCCCAACCTCACCGCCGCCTCGTGTTGCATTGCTGCTGCCCCCATGTACTGTGTGTTGCGCCCATGCATTGTCGTCACCCTCACCTTTCCCGCCGCCCATTGCATCATCGCCATCTCGTGCAAGCCTTACTAACCTTGGTCCTGTAACAGAGCCTGTGGCGTCAGAGTCATCTCCCAAAGCACAGCGTAAGTAGTCCTCCCATTGATGCCCCCTCCCCCCTCTTGTCCCCTTGGACCTGCTGCTGCGTGCAGCCCTTGTTGCCATCAACGCAGCATGCTGACCTGCCCCCAGCTGCTACCACGGAAGCAGTCAGCTCTACCGACACAAAGCCCACGACATCCAATGCCCAGCCATTGGCTCCTCCACCAAAACCAGCGCCCACAACCACTGGCGACACGCCTGATTACTTCAACACGGTACACAACCCCTTCTCGCTTGAGCCCAACGTCTTCGAGCAGTCCTTTGGAGGCGATTCTGGAAACCTACAGACTCCCGGAGGCCGGCCTATTCTCCCCCCAGTCGCCAACATTACGTCACCTTCACCCCTTCCTGGTATTACACCTGGGTGGCAGGGCTTGCGTGCCGGTCCTTTGAGCCCTGCTATGCTCAGCGGTCCAACTGGACAAACTGATTACTTTAGCGAGTCGTTCCGAGGCTTCCCGACACCAAACGAGTCCTCTCTTCGTACTGGTCTCACACCTGGTGGCGGTGGTTCTATGTTCCCAGCCCCCAGCCCTAACACACAAGCTATTTTCAATCTTCAGAGCGCTGGCGTCACACCTGGAACTGCCGATTTCCAACAGTCTGCTTTGCGTGCTGCTGCCCAACACCAGGCTAACAACAGCAACGCTAACAAGGCAACGTCCAACGCCCCTACATCCCAGCCCGAAGCCGCACCTGCTGTAATGGATCGCCAAACCAACAACTACCAACAGGCACAACCGCCCCAACAGCGCGCTCACAATGAACCTTACCCCAACCATGACGTCAGTAGCGCGGCTAACGACCTATTGTCTTTTGCTAGTCAGAATGGTGCTGCCCGTAACAACCAACAGCCCTACTCGATGGCGCCTCAGCAGCAGTCCATGAATGCTGGCCATATGCCTGTTCAACCCGTCAATGCCAACCACAGCCGTCGTGACACCAAGGGCTCTATTAACAGCGTTCAATCTGCAGAGACTGGAGACTTCTCAGAGAGCGGCCAGAGTGAGCAAGCCAAGACCGGCACACGGTCACGCGCGAAGAAGGGTGCCGCTAATGGCAAACAAGCTGCCGGTAACAAGCGAAAGGCTGAGGACGGCCCCAAGAACTCGAGAAAGAAGAGCAACGCCAACCAGGGCATGGGTGACGACATGGAGGATGGCGACTCCGACGATGAGAACAACAACATCAAGGAGGAGGAGTACGACAGCAAGGGCCGCAAGATGACCGACGAGGAGAAGCGCAAGAACTTCCTCGAGCGTAACAGGTATGTAACATATCTTCTGCTTCCACGTCACGTTACTTACCTAAATCAGGGTTGCTGCCCTCAAGTGTCGACAACGTAAGAAGCAGTGGCTCGCCAACCTCCAGGCCAAGGTTGAGCTTTTTAGTACGGAGAATGACGCCCTCTCTGCTACTGTCACCCAGCTTCGCGAGGAGATTGTCAATCTCAAGACACTTCTCCTTGCTCACAAGGACTGCCCAGTGTCGCAGGCCCAAGGTCTACACGGCGCTGCCATGAACAACTTCCTGGGAAGTGACATTAACCACCAAAACCCATATGGCATCGCTCAAATGCAGCCTAATGGTGTCCATATGATGCCCATGCAACAAGGCCAGATGATGAACCGGTTCGTATACCCACCCAATCGAAACACCTCACCCCACCAAGAAGACACCGCTCGTTACCCCTCCAATTACTGAGATTGTCGCTCACCTAGGTTCAGATAATTGGGAGTGAAAACGCTGTCATCATTATCGTGTAGCCCACGCACCACTGGCAGCCTCGACGACCCACTACCCTCCACCTCTTACAACTTTGTAATCTCCGCACCTTCTCCTTCCTCTCCTTCTCTCTCGGACGCATCGACGTCACTCTCAGCAATGCATACACTGGCGCTCGGCGTTGTGTCATTGTGTAAACATCCTGTTGACATCCAGGAACTCTGCAATTTGGTCGCTCCCCACAATACACTACTAGATTGCATTCATTCCTTCTCGGGCCGGACACTTGGAACGGCAAAGGAACTCCCCCCGGGGCTGGCCAATTGCTCAATGTGATTACGAAACTTGTCGTCTACGACGTCGGATGATGACGACTTGTTCTTCGATATTCCCTTTAGTAAACTGTCTATTGGTGGGGTGTATATATGGTTGACGTTTGGGTTCATCATTTCACTGGCGTTGTGCAGGCACTTATACAACGATTCCTTCTCTTATTCACTTGTAGCGCGCCAGTCTAGAGTTGCGCTCGGCGTTTTTTGGAGGGCATCTTCGTCGGCGACGACGTTTTGGGCTTCGAGCCTTCCTTTCTTTTTCCAGACGGGTGTGTGTTCTGGAGGAGCTTTTGAACCCGACACGATTGTTTTCTCGAGTCTACGGTTAACAATGGGGGTCCATGGCGCAGAGAATTGGGAAAAGGGAAAATATACACCAACCGATTTTGTATAACGGCAATGTTTTTGGTTGGTATTGAGCGGAGGAATGTGCATGTACGTATACGCGCAGACGTCAATGGCAAATGTTTATCTTGATGTGATTTTGTGTGAGATGGGGTGTCGTGGAGTGATGTGATGTGATGTTGGTTGCCAATGAATATTTTTCAGAGTGATTGTCAGGGTTGAGAGCAATTTCGCAATGTCATGTTCCATGCGTTGAGGGGACGAAAAGTCATGACTCACGTTGTTCCATTGTTAAATATCGCCAAACCTGAAATTTCATATGAAATTATAAAATATGATGCAGACATTTACTGAACCATGGTTCATTTACTCATACTGTAGCTTGTGCATTTGAGGGCGTTTGTTTCCAATCAGATGACCGACGAAGATCATCACCATCTTGAAGAGTAGCTTTATGGTTTCAAGTGGGGATTATCTATATTATACAGTTGTTTGCTAGCAGGATGGACTATTGGCAATAAGGAACTACTGACTGCAAAACCTCAGTCGAGATCTCTGACCCAGTCAAGCAATGCTTCGGCACCCTTTTCCCAGTCCACATGGTTTTGCAAATGGTGCGCCACTCCTTTCACGATTTCAAACTTCACACCATTGCAGTCTGCACTCTCGTCAATTGCGGTGTCAATAGAATCCTCAGACACGCCATCCAATTTCTTCAGTCTTACGCAATCGAGGAATGCTGTACGGTAGCGTTTTGCGGCATCAAGCAGAACAGACGGTGTACAGAGAACATCGAACTCGGCCGCAAGAACGAAAAGTCTCGATACAACACCGGTTTTCTTACCCGTACCTGATTTCGCTGGCTGTTTTGGCTTCCACCCAACGATAGATTGGATGACATCCGGGCCTGTGACGATTGGGAAAAGCGCTTGCATGGGCCAGAGCATAGACTCGTATGGGCTGAGCAGGCGCTCCAAAGCCTGTACAACCGGCCAAGGTGTCGATGCCGTAAAAAACGGATCCTTGACTTGCTTCGTGGTTGCAAGTAGATACCTAGAATGGAAGCAGCGGTAGACAAAATTCAGCGGTGCTGAACTGGCCCAGAACGCATAGCACGACCACCTATCTCCACATTAGCATCTCTCCACGCACCAAAGCATAACTAAACGAAACTGAAAAAAAAGGGGACAACATACGACCCAAACCCCGGCACAGCAGCAAACATACAAAACCCCTGCACCTTAATCAACCCCTTCCCCAGCACCCACTGACTCAACGCTCCCCCCGCTGAATGCGCGACCAACACCACCCTCACCCGCTCCTGCCCTCCCACCCTCCTCCTCCCCTCCATCTCCTCCACCGCCTCAACCCCCGCAACAAGATCCTCCGCCATCCTGCCGCGACTCGTAAAATACAGAGCCCAGAACCCCGGGTACCAACTCCCACCATGGCCCCGGTAACTCACCGCATAGCACGGGTAGCCCTGCGCGCTGAAGAATTGCATGTAGGGGATCCACACCGAGGCGCAACCGAAGCCGCCGTGGGCGAAGAAGAGAGGGGGTTTGGAGGTTGGTGGGGTGGTGGAGGAGGAGGAGGAGGAGGAGGAGGAGGAGGAGGAGGATTGGGGGAGTGCGGAGATGAGTTCGAGGGGGCCCGAGGGGGTGCGAATGTAGGTGCGGGTTAGGCCGTCTGGAAGGGGTGTTGGGGAGGGGGGATTCCGAGTTGGGGTTCGCCATTGGAGGGTGAAGGGACCGAAGGGCATGGTTTTTTTCTTTCTCTCTCTCTCTCTCTCTCTCTTTCTTTCTTTCTGGAGTTTGCTGATTGAAATTTATCTGGGCTGTTGCGAATATAATGGGGGAGTTTGGCTGAAAACGGATGGGTTGGATGTCGTTTGTGGGCTAACAGCTTATGGTTTAGGTGGGTTGTACTGAGAGTATGGGAAGAAAGCGCTATATGAGAGGGTGTTTTTTTGTAGCTTTGTACGAGATTCTGTAAATCTTTTTTCTTGGTTGCAAATGTGATGCTTCAGCAGATATGCTTGGTGTTGGTGATGAGCCCTTTTGAGTGGTATGGCTGCGCGGGGTCAGGCTTGTTCAGCCGCACCTCGTAAGTAGTAGTAGTGCAGGTCTGGGCGGGCTAAAAATATGGCAGGGGGATGTAACCGGTTGGTGAGCATAGCAATGGGCTACAGAATGTGTTGCAGTGTACAGTGAGTCATCTTGATGGTCATTCATTGATATCGGGGACTTGTGAATTTTGGGTGTGACAAAGATAAAAGAAAGAGGGGTTTAGGGTTGCAGGCGCGGGTGCTGTGCTGCTATAGTAATGTAGGGCTGCTTGTCATTTTCCTCTCTTCAAGTCTAACGTGCATCCATGGGTCACGCAAATACCCCCGTGCCGCAGGTATTCTACACATTCAATATCTTAGATGTTCCAATATAGCCTCTTTCGCTCTATAATCCTATATGCATATTCTCTAGACGTTTTCCTGTTTAATAACAGCTTGTGGCGAAAAAATACATAGTGATGAGCTGTGCTGTCGCTCGTGTATCTCTATCCGCTGGAAGCTGCATCACGTTTACACCTTAGTATTAGTAGTATAGCTTAAGGTACCACCTATATCGGGATGATAGGTGAATAGAATGATTATAGGAAAACATATCCCGAGACTTGTTTAGATGCTTAAACTTCAGAGAATATATTCTGGATTTTTCCGTGAATAAGACTTGATCTCGCGCCTTGACCGCTGAGTTTAGCGCGCTTATATTATATCTTGGCATACCGTATCGTACGGCGTCTATTCTTGAGCTAGCTTGATGGAATCGACGTGTGGCGGATGCTTCTTGAAGCATCGACGTTGGTTATGTGTGTACTATCTTTAGCACGAGCGCGTTCCGTTGTTTTGGTTGAGTAGTGCGGAGCTGCGCTGTGGCCTAAATAGCAGCACTCGCAATACCATAGTAAACATAGAGCTAGCTAGTTAAGTGCTAGCGTAAACTAACTCTATAGATGTGCCTACGGACTAGCCTTCACTCGTACAGACTAAAGAAGAGATTCCCTACTATACCTGCTACTACCGGAAGCGCAGACGACCTTCGATAAAGGAGAAGGCTTAAGACCAGCAATACCTTACTCTACCTAAGGAGAAAGCTCTTGTTGTTTTTATATTACGGATAGGTATATTCAGGACTCCTATACGTGTGAAGTACATACCTACACTTGCTTTTTACATCGCTAGCCGACGTGCCACGAAACGACCCTCCAAGCCACCGAAGAAGAATTGGCCTCAGGCCTTCCATCACCGCCACCCACAGCTTAAATCGAGGAGCAATAGGCTTATGCCGTGGGAGCGTCACGATAATAGCATATACGATAAGGTAGTACATTAGTTCGACGTGATTAGGGAGGAACTCTGCAGACTAGACGTCTTGCCAGAGAACGTCTATAATATAGATGAGATAGGCATCATACTTTCTATGCTTAGCTCTATTAAAGTCCTAGTAGGTAAAGGTGATAGAAGGGACTATAGAGGAACTGGCACAAAGCGGACGATGATAACTGCTATCGAATGCGTGTTAGCAAGCGGTGAGTATCTTAATCCGATAATCATCTAGCCTGCATCTACCTATAGGAGCAACTAGACGACGTACCTTACTCCTAGATAGTTCTATGCTCTTTCTAAAATAGGTTATAATCACTCTTTTATTAGCCTAGAGTGGATTAAACAAGTCTTTGACCCTCAGACTAAAGCTCGTGCTAATAGGAAGCCATGGATACTCATCTACGATAGCTTTGGGACACATAAAACCCTCGAGATTATTGAATTTTGCTTAGAGAATAACATCATCCTATACAGACTACCCTCTCACACGTCTCACAAGACACAACCTTGTAACGTGTTAGTTTTTGGGCTATTAAAAACAGCGTACCGAGATAAAGTCGAGCGCCGCTACCATAGAGGTCTAACAAATGTCAACAAAGAACACTTCACTGCTATATACAGTCGTGCGAGAGAAAGGGCGATGACGAAGAAGAATATACTTGCTGGCTGGGCAAAGACCGGCCTCTTTCCTTATAACCCTCCGAGGGTTCTTCGTGATATCGTAAAGCCAGACGCTCCGCTGACTATTTCGATCTCCCACGATGTCGGAAGCACACAAAATGGAGTAACCCGGACACCAGTGACGCCCGTGCCATCGGAAGCAGTGGCACAACTACTGAGCCTCATCAAGCAAGATTCTCATAGTGATAAGCCAATTGAATTACGTCGTCATAGACTGACTCAGAAGCTTGCCAACGCTGCCGAAAGGTCTATTGCCCAACAAGCCCTTGACCAGAATTATATTGGGCTTCTTAAGACTGCCAATAAAGAGGCTAAGACTCGCCGAAATACAAAGTCAGATATCCTGAAGAAGCCTGGGAAGAACGGCGAAGGACGGGTGATGAGATAGGAAGATCTCAAAGCAATTCGGGCGGACCGTGCAGAACGTGCTAAACAAGATGCTGCTAAAAAGGCTGTAGGTAAAGCAAAGCGCGGCCGGCCAAAGGCAACGACGCAGGCAGACGGAGGTGAATTAGGGAAGAAACGTGGTCGGAAGCGTAAAAGTGTCCCCCGGTCGGAGGAGCTGTTCTAGATGAGCAGGAAGTACTAGGCGTGTCGGGACCCTCAAATAAAGCAGCACGAGCAAGCGATGCGCTTATTGATCCGATGCTGGAAACGTGGAGAGCACCTGTGGCACAGATGTGGTGACGATAGAGGGACATACCGATCACGCTTAGCATGCTCCAGACATGAACGTAGACCTATAATGTGAAGGCAATTCTGCTTTGGTGCTCGTTCAACCTTCATGCTTGCCACCGCGCTGACATAGGCGGACCGGTCTTCCAGCGTGCTGTGAGAAGCATTCAAACCACTTCCTTCATCAACGGCATGCTGATGCCCGTCTAGTGAGAACACTACTGCCTTAGTATATAATAATTGATCTGTAGCACGTTGCGAAAGAAGACTATCGCTGTCCCCCTCTTTCCTACTATTCTGTCGTTGCAGCTGAACTCTAATCCTTAGTTCGACCTTGTAGTTCTACATTATATCCCCGTCTGAATACCATTCGGGCCTTCCAATAGCATACCCCCTGGTTGCTCCACCACAATACGACCAAAGCTAGTGTTAGATTGTAAGGGTTCTTAAAGACGGTGAATTGGATCGATGAATGTGATTGATGTGTGTTAATTGAACTTGTTGTTCTCCCTAGGAGACGCGCGAGCGCGTCTCCTTAAGGAGGGTTTACTTATTTTTTACATTTTGAAACCCTTGCCGTCTAGCTAACTTAGGTGGTGGTCTTGGTAGTATTCTCTAATTAGCTGCACGCAGGTTCTGGATGATCTGATCCCCTTCTACGCTTAGCAGCTCAAGTAGCTCGTATCTAATAGCTATGTAGTTAGATCCGGCCGTATTTTGGGCGGTAATTGATAAATCCCTATCTGGTGAAAATTTTTGAAAGCCACCTTCGCAATAGCCAATACGACCGAAATCTTAGCTAGCGCTGAAGTTCGGCCTTTTATATCATGATCCTTTCTATGTATAGGGCTTAATCTAGTATACCCGTGTTACACAGGGATGGGCTTTTTGTTACTTGTAACAACTGTTGTAAATGAAATAGAGCCTCTGTTTGTTTACTCAAACCCTCTAGATTATCAAGTATATCTCCGTTTCTTGCTCTATTTAAAAAAACGGAGCCTAAATTTGGATAAAAAATGGAAACGGAGTTTAACTAAGCAAGCCCTGATTAGGACAGCCTCGCCCTAGCTACCTAGCTAGAAACTACCGGTCCGAAATCAGGTGAGTTAGCGCTATGATAGCATATATAGCTGAAAATACCGGCCTAAAAGTATATTATCTAGCGCTGTGATAGCATATACGGCCGAAAATACGGTCCTAAAATCATGTGAGCTGACGCTGTGATAGCATATAAGGCCGAAACGTTGGCTAGCGCTGAAGGTTAGCTCTTTGCATTGTGATCGTTCATATATATAAGGTAGAACACGATGCAGAAACCTGCTAGAACCTATCTAATATATATTATTCCCAAATGATTGCCTCTGCTAAAACTGTTCTTTACGTTACGTTGTTCTGCCAACTAGGCTTCGCATACGACCACCCTGGAATGGCATGGTTTTGCGCAGCTGATACTGGTAATACTGCTACAGCCTGCGCTGCAGTTAACGGCGCATTTATGTTTCAAACCCATGAGTATCATTATGGAGCATATCGATACGTAGAATATCATGTAGGGCATCTACTATATTACACCTGATGATAAATAACTAATCTTATATAAAGGATTACTGTTGTGTGCCAAATACACTAGAAAAGACTCTGGAGTTCTACGATGCTTGCTGGGCTCAGAATCAGCAGGCACCTGTTACAGACAGGCCTCAGGATAGTGGCGGCGGAGACTTGCCTGCGTGTGGCTAGGGCTAACGTCAAGGTGTAAATAGTATAACTTAGCTATCTGGTGAACAAAAACACTGACATCGCTCGTGGGGTTTTACACCAAAGTCAATGAATAGTTATACTTGGTAGAAAAAGTATTTACAACACTGGACACTTCTTGTGCATGAATATTAAAAACAACTTTACAGCGCTAAGATTACTTATAGCTAGTTAAAGAATAACTATATATACTTATATTTTATAGGAATACAGCGAGCATTATGTATTAAGTGTTCGAGGTAAGATAGAGTTCTTTGCATTTTTACTATGGCATATTGGCAGCCATCCTTTAACTACTATCAGTCTCACAGCTTATAGGTGTCGCATAAGACTACATAGACACTAGCGATGATAGCAGTCATGAAGAACCATACATATATTGGTGCTATAACTATAGAAGGCGTGGTTATATAATGGACAAGTGTCCTAAAATCTAATGTTATAAGTGTAGGCAATTAATGATTTAACCCTATCTTCTCATAATTGCCTAGATATCCGCTGATTTAATTATTAGGTAACAAATACGGCCATATGAGAGCAAACTGTAATTTTTGCCCAGTATATTGCGATAACTGTAGGTGGTGAGTTTTACTCAAATTATTCAAGTAGGAACTAATGTTGAAACTAGGTGGTACGTGGGATCATAAATCAAGGACCTGCTGGAGATGTGAAATAAGCAGTGAATTAGGCTAGTTAATATTACTTCCGTTCTGCGCTGCACATTCTTCTATATTACCAGACTGTTACAAGTAACAGCGAAGGATCTCTCCTGGATGAGGGCTGCAGGTAGGAGACTATTGGGCGCCATGTCAAAAGGTAATAATCACCGTGGGGCGGCGATCACGTGACTGGCATCACGCCAAGACCGTAGCATTAGTGATGCCACTCCGGACATATGAGGAAACGGCCTTACAGGAAGGGTCTGAAGTTAGTGACTCCAGAAGGGTTGTCTGATGCTAAGACCAAAGGCAATGGGTATAAGAATGTGTTGGGTTTTATTATTACACTCGTTGTGGTCAACTCAGCAAAGTACTCTCTCCTATGTAGATTGTTACTAGTTATTCTATCTTTATATAGAATCGATTTTTACTCTTGTGGTTGAATCTAATAACTCTTTTCTATAGTAATAGCGGAACAATTGCACAGACTACCGCTTCCTATAAGTCTCGCCCTAACCCGGACTAGGGCTAGGTACGTATAGCCGAACCCCGTGTAACATAGACTTCCCGTCTAGTTGTTAATAAAAAAGAAGCAAATAACGCATTCCATCATACACTATCGAGCAACTAGGCAATTAAAGAAGGTAATAGCTTAGCTGGATCACGTGGTTGAGGATAGAAAAGTATAATATGTGAGAGGTTCGGCAGATAGGAATAAGAATATTATATAGTATTAAGACGAATCCTTAGAGAATCCTTAAGGGGTTAGATGGGGTTTGTATACTACACGTGCCCTAGGCGCTGCTGGCCTGAGGGGTCTTTAGTAGGGTCCTGAGGGTTGTCCTCTATGTCTATGTTAGAGTCGTGTGATACTAGCTGCGTAGATAGTGCGTGTTTAGAACAAACTAACTAATGCAGCAACGCATTTATTGTATGATTTGGATACAAACAATAGAATGTATAGACTATTACTTACTAATGATGCTCTAATATTCTTGATTACGACTTTATTATGGAGAGAGGGTGAAGGTGGTGCAAAGTCGAAGTACCTGTTATTCTTATCGTGACGTAGGGGTTTTTCGCCACGCAGGGGGGGGGGGAGGTTAGTACGGAATTTGGGCCTTTGCTATTAAGCCAACGAGGCGGTATCGTAATACAAGTGCACGAGAGATTATGATTATAAGGCTAAAGCTAACTACTACGTGATCTTTAACTTGCTAACAAGATTTTAAGGCTTACACAGCTATAGGGATTTAAAGATATCAGCTTAGCGTAGTAAAAATTACGCTATAGACGGTCCTATACTAGCTATATATAAAAGCTGCTCGCTAGAGAAGTACTAATAGAGGTAGCAATCACGCATAGATATAAGCGCTACGCTGTACTAAAGGCTAAGATTAGCTCTATAGTATAGCTAAAGGTTTCTTTAGTATATATAACTTTTTTTACTTAGTATAGGGGTTTGATAGAGTAAGATAGAGGCTATCTATAGTAGTTTTATAGCTAAGCTCTAGAAAAGGCGTCTTTTACGTATTAGCGTAGATTTAATAGCAATAGCGTATTTTTTATAAGAAAAAGTGTCTACACCTATAGAAGAGAGTAAAAAATATAGCTAATCTATAAAGAGATTTTAAAAATAGCGCGTTAATAGAGATATCGTATCCTAACGATAAGGTACCCCTCTTTTCTTGCGGCACGGGGGGATTTGCGTGACGCAGGGAGGAACGTTAGTTTATCTAAGGTTATATTTCAAATAGCGACATTGTTTGGAAGGCTTGCGATGTAGGATTCTGCGAGTTTTTTTGGGAAATCTGACGTGCTTGGACCCATTGTCTGGTTAATGGGGTTTGAATGCAACTACGAAGGGTTGTTTATTTTCGTTTTGCACAAAGAGATAGTAGCTTTGGAGTATGATTCAGGAGAAGAGACGAAATGCTTTTAGTGGATGTAATAGATAGTTTTTGGGTGCTTGTACCAAGAGAAGGAAAGGGTAAACTGAATCTCAGGCCTACCATCTTCATGCTTATATGATAGAGTTAATCCCAAGCGCGCACATTCGAAGCTTCTAGAAATATCGACTCTTTTATTACTGGCAGCCACCTCATACGGAATAGGTGGTTGGTGGATGGCCTGGAACAAAACGGACAAAGGGCCGCACTTATATTTTATCGCTTTGTCCCACTCCCAAACTGCCGTTGGCGCCTGAAGGGATTTAGCCTGCTCACCGCGTTTCTGACTTTGTTGCACTTCGAGGTTTTGCCTTGAAGGTTCGAGATTTTGTGTAGCCCCCCAAGAGCTGGTTGATACATGTCACTATCGATGGATTGTACGCGGCTGTTGTGATGTGTACATGACGGCTCGGGCGGAGACTTGGTGGAAGGATGTGTGGGTGTACCTGCATCCATCTTACCAGGTTGGGAATTGCAAGGATCTTCAATGGGCTGTTCAAGCTGATCCATTTCTACATGTGAGTCTGGCTCGATTACCGGGAGATCTTGATCGATGTCGCATACTTCCACTGGCGGTGGCGGTAGTGGAGGATGTTGTCGGAGAAAGTCTTCTGCTGTTGGCTGACGGAAATATGTATCGTGAGAACAATGGACAATATGTGTTGACTGAGTGTAAACATTCTCGTCATACAGTGGGTATGGCGGCGACCGGGTCTCAAACTGCATCATACTAGATAGTTGTGTTGTGTTCCGTTTCGACATCGCAGCAGCAACAAATTCATGGTGGTCGGGCATGCTTAGATGACTCTGGCGCACAGTGCGCATATTTCTGATGGAATGTTCATAACCCTTGGAGGTCAGCTGGGACTGACTGGACATGTTTGTAGTATGGGACTCAGAGAAGTGCCTGGAGTCAATATTAAATCCGAAAGAAGGTTGTGTAAAGGAACTGACTGGAAGAGCAGTCAAAGGAAAAATATTAGAGAAGTTTGATGGAGAGTACCCAGATTGAAGATGGCGTACAGATAATGATTGAGTACGGCGAACATCCCGTGCTGTTGAGCCAGAGTATGGGGATGGACCAGAAAAGTCTGTTACTGAAGTCATAGTGAATGGTTGTGCGCGACACGTGTGGCCAGTTGCGGATTGAAGGAGATTTCTCTAGTGCTGTAGTGAAACTTATGGAGACTCTCAAATTGATAATCGAGTGAATTGCGTGGCGATAACATATACACGTAGGAGAAGAAGAAGAAGAAGAAGATGATGCATATAAGTGCAGCAGATTTAATTAGTAAATCGTCTTCCAGCCCATCAAAGGCATTGTATGGGTGCATCTTTCACTGCGTTCCTCCTTGTTTCACTGAAGAGCTCACAATGTTTGTCGTAGCTAGGGAACAACTCCAACCACGAGGCGTATCGAGGACACATAAAAGCTTTGATTTGTCAAGAGATATAGAGGAAGAAGAGATGGGGAAAAGGTAAATGGAAGCGAAACGAAATAAGGGAAAGTAAGTCAAACGTGGAGCTTAGCCTAGGCGAAACCAAAGAATCTCAGAATCGTTCGTTTTCTCGAGAAATTTGGTTTCCAATCATCCTAGAGCTCAAAGTTAGCATATGCCACGTCATGAGTGGATTTCGTTCGTTCAGTGATTGCAAAAAAACATGGAATGACGGTAGACAGAGATGTCACAACTCACCTGCATCATTGCTGTATTGATAGCACTGTTGGCTTGCTTTACATCAGTCACCAAAGCTCCGGCCCAGACTTGGTATGCAGCCCTGTTCCCATCACGGAAGATGTCGTTGTTATAAGTCAGCATGACCTTGCCACTTGCCGTGTCAGTATTTTTGACCTGTTGCCAATCATCTTTGTAATTGTCGTCCACGTTCGCGTCGTAAAGTTGGATCTTGATGTCAGACTCTGCTATTGACATGGATTCAGCAACAGCTGAGACAAGCATTGCTACCTTAGCCTGGTACTTTGATTTGGTCCCGGCGACAAAGGTTGGCGTGAATATTGTCGCCTTGATGATGTCGTTAGTACATGGCAACTACAGCTATTGAATACAAAAGGGAGATGCATACCTTGAGATTTTTCTCTTTAGTTAAGCAGTCCTTGGGAAGTTGAGGAAATCCCAGGAAGGAGGGGTTGTCGATATCGCCTTCTACTAGCGGCTTGATGACTGCATCTCGGAACTGCTCTTCTGTTGTCTTTCCCTTCCACCAACTTTCCCAATGATGTGACTGTCTCTTGTTAGCTAAAGGATATCTTCTATGAAGGCTCACGGTCTCTTACCATGAACATTCCACATTGAGAAGTCAACAGCACAGATGTACATCCATACAGGCCCATGACACCAGCCATGAAAGGACCCTGTTTCCACTGCATAAAGATGGATGTAGAACGCTCACGACTGTCGACATCCTCCAAATCAACTAAGAAAGGCTTGGTATCGAAGAACTCTTTGGCAAAAGCGTCCAGACCTCCCTGTGTTGGTTTGTTTAGGAAACCGAACACGGGGTCTGCTGTTGTTGGGATTGCACGAGGCAATGCCTTCCGGTTACTTGTGGCCTCTACAGCTCGCGCTTTCTTAGCCGGGCAAGAGCCTCCACCACAGGTAGCGGGAGTACACAAGACTTGCCCTTTCGGGTCATCATCGGGCACCTCTCCACACCCACTGTCCCTCTCTTTCTTGCGGATGTCATTGAACTTGTTCCTCTTGGAATTAGACTTGCTTCCAAGTGGATTGAACTTTGACTTGGGCGAAATGCCATACAGCAGTTTTAAGCCCTCAACATCACGCTGGCTGGGAGCAAGGACTTGCTTGATCTGATCTCCATTCGGCTTGGTCAAGACTGACCCCATACCGCTGTCGTAAATCATGATAGAGTCCCAATCAGGTTCCGTAACCGACTTGCTCGCTCTGTATGCAGTTGAATCAGCAAATGGGAGATACTCTGCAGCGCTGAATCGATGAGCCTTAGCAAAAGCCCTCGAAGTGCAAGCTTTTTTCATTTGATCGGCAGTCAGTGTTGCAGCGACGCTGGCGTAGTCTTTCAGATTCTGGCACTTGAAATTTGAAGCACCAAAGACATTTCCACCGGCAGCAGCGTAGTCAGATGACCAGAAGGCTGGGTTTTGATGCTCGTGATGCAGACCCCACGCATGCTAAGTCTCTTATTAGTTGGGTTTCGATGAACCAAATATGAGAGGATGCTTACGCCCATTTGATGCGCAAAATTGGCAACCAAGTTTTGCTTTCCAATATCAAGATCGGCAGTCAGTCTCATCAGGGGCCCTCTGTTCTCTGGGTCACCGCTCATCTTATTAAGAGGCGGTATGCCAACAGTACATGAAAGTCCATCGCTCTTGGTGATGAGAAGGAAGTTCGGCCTGTTTGCGTTGTTGTTACAGCTGCAAAGTTTCTGTCAGAATGGATGCAATTTTCAAAAAAAATTAGTTTCTCATCAGGATCAACTTACTACGACTCATCTTTTTCTTCCCAGTCAAAGCCAGATCCAAGTCCTGAGTTTTCCCATAGCTTTCTCGCCTCGAGCAAATCTTCGAAGAAAAGTTCCTTCGTTGCTTTCGACTCGAAGCAATATGTAATCTTGCCGTTAGGCCATAAGCGGTCGTCAGAGTTGGCAGTACCTGGGTTGATGGTCACATAACGCTTCTTGATTGTATTCGTAGACCTCCGAGAACCCGTGCCAATTGTTGCGTTCTCTTTCTCAGGCACGAAAAGGTCGCCATGTAGCTCAGTGTAACTGGGTGGAGTGTAAACGATAGAAGATTCCCAGGCACGACTCCCTGCAAGAACAGGACGAGCAGCCAGGATAGTAGAGAAAACGAGCGTTAGGATGGAAGAAGCCATGATGCAATAAAAACTATGAGCAAGTTAGCTGCTTCTTGCATTCTGGGAATCAAGTGTGCTCACCGAATGTATGGAGTCACGTCTTTACGACATGTCACAGTTGGAAATGCTTGGTGAGTAGGACCACGAGAACATAGCAGGTCACGATTGAGAGTACTGTATCTCAAGAGACCTTGTGTGCGCTGCGCCCATCATTTCCACCATAAGAGAACTAGTTTGGTCCTTCCGTAAAGGGAAAGCCAAGGCATAGATATTGACATGCGCTAAATATAACTGTTGAAGAGTGGAACAAGTGCACACGGGCAACTAAAATGAATAATTATCCTTGCAAGCCATACTAGGATACCCAGCCGTGGTATCATGTGTTGATCAAATTCATTAGCTTCGCAGCTTAGGATTGTCTTGAAAAGCAGATCCCAGTAAAATACACGATACCGTAACAAAACAGCGGAACGCCTGACCCGGCACAGTGGTGAGATACGGCCGAGATGATAGCGAAGGACCAGTAGATGAACCCAGACCAAGGACGGCACTTGCACCACGAGGAAGGTGCCTGGTAAGGCCGCTTTCAATATAGACCGCTTAAAAAAATATGTGCAGGGTTTTCTTTGCATGCAACGTCGCAATTTATGGTGCATCTGGTTCAATGAATGTGTGGGCATGGAGGCTGCCAAGTACGATATCTGAGAAAACGGGAAATGACATGAGATCGATAGACTGATGAAGAAGCACTTGACTTATACAGAACGATTGTGTCGTATTCATTATTTTGAGGCATGTACCTTAGCATCTCGATATGTGCTAGATGACGTATGAAATCAGATCCGTCAAACATCTCTTAACCTTATGGCAGCAACAAAGTGTATGACACCGAACGCGTATCTCCGATATTGAGCGGAGGCCTTGCAAACACTATCCCCTGAATTTCCTCAACTTCCAACTTCTTTCTTTAGTCTCAGGCCTTGCATGCTCTTCCAGGGTCGATCAGGCGCCCCGAGCCGCTAGCATCCAGGCGCGTCCCCCATATTACGTGAGTGGGCCGACTTACGCTAGTGCGAACCTTTATGCAAGCCCCTGCATCCTCCCGTAACCTAGCTTTACAAGCATTTGGCTGCATCCATGCGGACAAGATACTTGGCAGGACACGGCTGTGCAACGGGCCTAAATGTATACCAACATTAGAGGGTTTGGATCCATGCCTCGACTTTCAGGCGACCATTCTCCTATCAATTTTTCAGATTGCCGTGTGCTGCTGAATAGGGAATAGGCAGCTTTTCTTTCGGCTCTATTGCTTCTCCCACCAAAATTGCCATTTGGTATTGCAAAAGGCTTATCTTCGTCTACATCATTTGTACAAGCGAGCAAAGAAGGGCTTTGCTTAAGTGAGTTTTCCCGGTTGCTCTCTCGAAGTGTGCTTACAATTACTTCTTAAAAAGATAGCCAACCTATCATTGATCCGAATCTCGCAGAAGTCTGGCCTTCTCGTTTAAGGCATCATGGCTCCCTTACTGGCTTGGACGGTATTATTCACATCAGTCATTTCCACAGCCTCTGGGGCTGCCATTAAAACCCAAAGACAAAGTGTCAACAAACGAGCCGTCTCTAATATCTTGGAACGCAAACCAGCAGTCCGCCCGCGAAGAGACGGAGACCCAACAGACTACTCCTGGGTGAAGAACTTGGTTGCAATAGGAGACAGTTTCACTGCTGGTATTGGTTCAGGTAACCATCTAGGCAGTGTGTTTCACGATGAAAACAGTTGGTTGTGTTCACGTTATGACCTGTCATATCCAATGCTGGTATACAACACAATTGGATCCTCAGTCAAAGACTTCCAGTTTCCTGCATGTAGCGGGGACCGATCGGTGCAGATCTTTGAACAAGTCGAAAAGCTCAAGGATAACATCGACATGGTCATCATGACTGCTGGTGGAAATGATCTCTGCTTGGTACGCTATTCTGAATCTCGTTTTGAAAACATTTTGGATTGACCCTCGGACATGCACTTACAAAATTCTAGGCTGGAATGATTAAGAAATGCGTTATGCTTCCCTACGAGGGAGAAGAGACATGCAATGCAATCATCGATAAAGCCCAGGAGAACATCGATACCATTCTCAAGTCCAACCTCAAGCAGATCCTTTTGGCTCTCAACGATAAGATGTCCGAAGATGGGGTCGTCGTGTATAATGGCTATTCACAGTTCTTCAACACTGAGAATGATGATTGTGCCACCAAACAGTCGTGGGCTTTTAGTAGATGGCTTCCCAAGTATTGGTTCAAGAGTGCTCTTACGCTCACAGTTGCGCGACGAGAAAGGTTCAACAAACTCGTTTTGGCCATCAACAATGCAATCAGAGATGTCATATACATCTTGCGCGACGAAGAGTCTATCAAATACCAAATCGGATTTTCAAACTGGGATCCTTGGGTGCGAGACGGAGTCAAAGGGCAGATGTGCGATCCATCTTCAAGCGGAGTGTACCCCGACAAGGATCAGCCAGACCTCCAGTTCTTTAAGCCATCCACTAACCTAGCCGGTTGGGAACATGACGAGCTCAGGAGAAGACAAGAAGAGGTCAAGAAAATGCACGAGAATGGAACACTTCCCTCCAGCAAGGACGCAATTGACCCGAGCATCTACGACAGTATTCTTTGGAAGTCGCCTTCTCCCGGTGCGGAAGTTATCCACAAGCTTAACAAACGAGCTCCTGCACCGCCCGGCTGTCCAGGAGATAATGACTGGTTTGACCCGACACTAGGCTTAGGACTACCGGACAGTTTTGGTAAACTCTTTCATCCTAATGAACTAGGACACGAGACCATCGCCTCTTTCGCACTTGCGAAAGGCATTGATCTTCGCGCCAAAGTACTCGGTCAGGACTCTGAGACGTGTGCCGTCACAGACGAGTTCAAATGCTGGCAAAAAGAAGGACGCAAAGGCTATGTAACAGCCGACAGGATGAATGAGAGCATTGAAAAGTTCTGTGGCACAGATGTCAACGCGCCTGATCACGAAGTTGGGTGGAAAAGAGAATTTACGTATTTCCAAGGCACACCGGACGAACATACCTTTGTCTTGCAGCTCGGACAGGATGCTGGCGACTTCAAAAAGGATGACTGCATCGAATCTTTCCAACGGATCGTTCACAGTTGTGATGGAAACGATCCCGAAAATCCGCTAAACTGGAAGTTTGGTGGAAGATGGCGCCGAGACGATTACACGTATGAGATTAATGTCAAGCGCGATAACAGGCCATGGCCGATGAAGGCAACGTATGGTACATGCAACGGAGACTACAAGTTCCTCTGGAGCTCCTACTCCATCAAAGGTGCGTTACGATCTGCCACCAAAACTTAAATATTTACTAATCTGGAATGCAGGCGCTGGCTTCAGCAGTTGGGACCACGGACAAGAAACCATTCTTGATAACACAAGAAAATGCTTGGGCCTTGGTGTCACGGAATGGGGGTTCTCATACTTTGACGAACCAGATGAAAACGGTTATGAATGGTCTGCAAGCTTCCGCACTCCAATTTGGGTCAAGGCGAGATGCTTTGCAAACAACAAAGTTGTCATGGCCTCAGGAGGGTTTACAAATGGGTGCAGCGGCAGTGACGCCTGATCAACTATTTTGTGCAACTCTCTCTTTCTTTCCTTATGTATTATTTACATTTCTAAGTAATATGTCTCTTATCAATGTCATCTTAAGTTTCAATAGTCTTTATGTTGCCACGGAGAAACCTTGTTCACTTTGTGAATGGTAACTCAAAAATCACCATCCCAAACAATAAGGACCTTCTTTTGCTACTCCACGCCACTTTGGAAGAATGATGGTGACAAAAGCAAAATCGGTCGCACTTCAACGATCACATTGTCTTCATACAGTTTCGCTCAAGTATACATGTATGTATTAATACTACAGAATATCAAACACCCCTATAAATAATATGTCTATGAAACAAAGTATGGCAGCTAAGTTGGCACGGGTGGCCCACTAGAGATTGTAGTGACTGGTCCAGCGATTCCGATACAGTACCAGGTGTCCAGCCACAGATTTGAACAGTCAGAGCCAGCTCCTGGGTTCCATTTGTAGAAGTCACTAGGAATCGATATTAGTAAATACTCTTTCACACAACAGAGTCCAACAACTTACTTCAAAGCAATGCTAGCAGAGTTGGCAATGGCCCAGCATCCATCGCCGGGCTGAACGAAATAGAATCTCCTACAGCCAGCAACCATCCCCCCCTGCGTTGGAGAGGGCGTCGTAATGGCTCCACCAGCAGAAGTTGTTGCGCTAGATGAAACAGGTACAGAAGAAGGTTTACTGGATGATGCGGAGTTGGAAGTCGGAGGCTTTGTAGTAGTCACGGCTCCGCTCGTGACGCCAACACAAATGTAAAAGTTTGGTGTAAGGTTTGTACACTTGGAGGTACCTAGTGCTGGGTTCCAGGTCAAGAGTTGAAGCTCCGTAGTTCCTTTGCTACCAGCAATTGAAGCGCATGTATCCGATCTTTTGACCCCATTAGTGTGTATGAATATAGCGCGCTGCACTGGTCACCACTTACCGAGAGACAAGCCACAAATCACTACAATTTTCCACCATGCCACTCTGTGTCGGTCTTTCAGAGGAGGGAGCAGTGGTACTCGGTACACCGGTTGTACGAGTAGTCGGTGTCCCAGGAATACCGATGCAGAGGTACTGGTTTGCACCTATACCCCCACAGTCTGTTCCAACGGTAGGGTTCCATTTGATGAGGTCGTTTTTCGAGAACCGGCCGTACATCATTACAATCTCGTCACAGGTTTCAGAACCATCTGCTTTGTACCATGTGTTGCAGGTACTAATTTGGTTTTGGGGTACCGAAGAAGGCCGTTTTGTTTCCACAGGAGGCGCAGGTAGAGAGTCGCCGGCTACCACACAATAGTAGTAGTTCAACCATAAGCCGTCGCAGTTGCCATTCAGCGCAGGGTTCCAAGCAAAGAACTGCTGTTGCGAAACGAGACCGTACTGAAGTACCTGCCTGCATGTCTCTCCCTTTGTAGCACAGTTTGTTAGTAAGTTTACGCACTAAAGATACTGGATGCTTACATCTTTTGCTTGATGGAAAGCCTTGCAGTCGGGGGCAAGGCCTGCTTGGGTTGGTGAAGCTACGAAGCTGGAGTTCGCTTCCGGGTATGTTGTTGGCGTATATGCCGTAGGCTCTGGAACTTCTACAGGAGCGGCGGTAGTGGTATAGTCGAACGTCACCGTCATAGACTGCGGCTGGATGCCAATACACACCCACCAGCCATCATAGAGTCCAGAGCAGTCACTGTCTAGGGCAGGGTTCCACTCGAGACTACGTTACGCCAATGGTTAGTCTTCTTCTTATAATCAATGTCAAAGCAGGAGTGTCACTTACAACTGTGCCATGGTTGCCCGAGTAGCTGCACCAACGATTTGTTGACATGTTTCTCCAGCTGATACCAAGTGCCAGTTGTTGCAGTACGAAACTTGTCCTGCTTGTGTTTTCTTCGGTGGAAAGGCAGTCTCCACCGTAGTGCTTGAGATATTCCAAGTGTGTACCGGTTCTCGAATAGAGTACGGTGCAGTAGGAGTAATAGGCTTCTGTGTGCTAGAAGACTTTACCGATGAGGTCTTCGATGAGCTGATGGTACTGCTACGTACGCTCGTGACTGGCACACTGGAAGAGCCGCTCTTGATGCTGGAACTAGTGACTGGCGCATTCGCAGAACTGCTCCTGATACTGGAACTCGGGAGTGCACCAACTCCGACACAGTATGACGAACCAAGCCAGAAGTTGGTCAAACAGTCGTCAGAAACATCAGGGTTCCATTTGATGAAGTTGGCGTGCGAGATCCCATATTTGGTTTCTACTGCCCAGCATCCATCGCCGCTGACGACAGTATGGAAAGCATTGCAGTTTTTGGCAATGTTGGGGTGTGTAGGGCCTGTAGGACTGCTAGTTTGTGCATTACTGAACTTGAAAAAAATTGATGCGGCAACGAAGCCCCGCCAGAAAGACGTCGTAACCATGGCGAAAACGAGTGAGTGTGTCGTCAATCGTCCAAAAGCTCAAGTGTGAGCTGGTATGAACTTGACGTTGAGATGGGGGAAGCCTCGTGCCAGCAAAATGCCAAGGTCTCCCAGGCAAAGTAGGTGGTACGGTAGCCTCAGACTATGCATTCGGTTTAATGAGCATCATCCCCTGCGATCAGTCGAGACGTGCTCGAAATATCCTCACCCCTGCTGGCAGCCTTAGGCAGACGAGAAGAAGGTTCCTCCCGAGCTGTAAACTGAAAATCCACCGATGGCACGCCTTGGGCGGCAGTTCAGCGGGACAAACTAGCATGTAGTGTATGCACTAAAGCGATCAAAACGGCAATGATTGCAAGCAGAGTAGCTGGGGGGCTGGCTACAAGGATGCAATTTGCATGCAGGGGCCACGCTAAGTGTAAATTACAATACCAATACAACAGAACAGGCTAGTTGAATCGATGTTCGCAAAGGGTCTGCCCGTGCGCGGGCCGATTAACCAGCATCTTGGACCCCAACGCCGTCAGGCCGCCTCAGATAACAGACGTCTTATGAAGACTTGGTATTCAGGCCACCAAGCCTGCATATAGGTACCAACAGAATCCTGGCTGCCCAGCCCGCATACTCTCCACTAATTTTGGCTTGCCACTGCTTGTATGCTGTAAGGAACGAGATCATCCGCGAACTAGCCGATGCTACCTTCAGGGGAATGCAGGAACCGTTTCTTTCTAGCAGCATTTTGAAATTAGATCGGCCATTTTTGTCTGGGCCCGAGCTTGCGGTCGCAACGGTTGTGAAGCAAGCTCAACGAAGTCCCCTCGTCATTGATGTAGAAGTTCATTGTCACTCTTTCTTTCGTAGTGTATGAAAAACTCAGCGTCGTAACATAGTGTACGTGGTAACCTTTTTTGCAGCCATGGTCGTCGGGTCGTTTACAAGACGGGCATTGTTGCTTGGATTGGGACTGCAGTCGATCAACTTCTTTTCTGTTCTGGCCCAAGAAAATCCCAGCCTTCGAACGTTCGCTCTCCAAGGTGGTGTTGAAGCAGCAGCCGAGGACGACGACTTTACATGCAGTGAGACTAAGGGTTGCAAGATAGGATGCTGTGGAGCCCTGTGAGTTCACCTCGGAAAAAGACACATCGCTCTACTAATGAACAATGTAGAGATCCAACGACTGGAAAAGCTGTTTGTGGACTTGGTCCCGACTTCTGCGGTAAGGGTTGTATTTCCACATGCGACTACAAAAGCGAATGTGATCCTGGATGGGGAGCCCAGTGGTCCAATGCTTCAACATGCCCTCTCAACGTGTGCTGTAGCAAATTTGGCTTTTGTGGCACGACTCCAGACTTTTGTAACGGGGTTGTCACACCTTCGCCTCAATGTAATACGAGGACTGCCGATGAGAAACTTATAGGCTACTATGAGGGCTGGAACATGCAAAGACCATGTGGAAGTAAGCAACCTTGGACTCTATTAATTCATAGTATACTGATAGACGCAAAGCTATGCCGCCGGAAGACATCCCTCTTGGAGCATACACGCATATCAACTTTGCATTCGCGCTTATCAACCCAACAACATTCCGTATCGATGCCATGGACGCTGAGACGGCCAAGATGTACAAGAGAGTAACCAAACTGAAGGAAAGGCAGCCCGGCCTTCAAGTCTGGATTGGTTAGTAAAACTCAACTCCTATCCAACCTCTTACTAATTGTGTATTCTGTAGCTATCGGTGGATGGGCCATGAATGATCCTGGCCCATACCGGACCACCTTCTCCGACCTTGCGAAATCCACTTCTGCACAAGCTTCATTCTTCGAATCGCTAGTGACATTCATGAAAGCCAATAACTTTGATGGTGTTGATATCGACTGGGAATATCCTGTTGCAGAGGACCGTGGAGGTATTCCGGAAGATTTTGAGAATTATGTAACCTTTTTGAAGAATCTGCGCAACCACCTCAACGGTAGTGGTCGATACTACGGCCTTACACTCACACTCGTAAGTTGGCTTCTCGTCAAAGTAAGCAGTCCATGTAACTAATTCACCCTTAGCCAGCATCTTATTGGTACATGAAAGGCTTCGACATCATCAAGCTCGAGCCATGGGTAGATTGGTTCAATATCATGACTTATGACATCCGTAAGACATTTTTTTTCTTTTGAAATGGGGAAAATATGCTGACATCGCATCATTCAGACGGCGTTTGGGACAGTACAGTTAAATCGATCGGCCCATACGCTTTCGCACACACCAACCTTACCGAAATTCAGTTAGGCCTCGAGCTTCTCTGGAGAAACAACATCAACCCTGCTCGCGTTGTCATGGGTTTAGGCTTCTATGGTCGAAGTAAGTATTCATCCCTGTCACCTCCCATTGCCTTTGCTAACCCTCACACTTAGCCTTTACGATGAAGGATCCCAACTGCATGAAAGCGGGCTGTGAATTTACTGATGGTGCAAAGGGCGGTGAATGCACAGGAACTCCAGGCGTCCTATCAGCTGCTGAGATCAACAAGATCATAGAAAATGGCGCAACAGTTTCGCATGACCTCGATGCGGCAGCGAAAATTGTTACCTGGGATGGTAACCAGTGGGCAAGCTTTGATGACGCTGAAACGCTGAAGATCAAGCTGGACTATGCAAATAAGCGTTGTTTAGGAGGGTAAGTCGATCTGTGAATATCCTTATCCAATCATCACTCCTATAGTATTGCTGTGCTAACATCTTTACCTATTGCAGAACCATGATATGGGCAATCGACTTAGATGACGGTTCCTTGTTGGAAGCATTGACGTCGGTGAGCACTAAGAAGAAGGAAGAAGTACTAGCAGAATCGGATTTCGATATGCCGGATTTTGGTACCAGTTGGGATTTCGTCCCAAAGGAGGCCAACGGAAAGGGAAAGAGGGATGAGCTTTAAGCTTTGACAACCGAAGAGTGCGGCTTGGAATATGCTTCATACGTTAATTGATTTAAGAAGCTCGTGAGCTAGTTTTGCATTTTATTCTTTAGTAAGCGAAGAGGATTTTGATGAATGTGCCGGAAATCTATGGGTCTGGACGGTATTTAAAGAAACCCACCCTCTATTGAACAGAATTTGCATTATTATAAGCCTGAAAACACAGTCTGTAGTACTTGGACCGCATCACCAGAATTTCATCCTGTTGAATAACGAGCTCTCTTTCTTGTCTGATTTCGCAGCTTCAGCAGCATCTTTCGCTAGTTGCACCTTGAGTTAGTGAACAAATAATGAGCCCACAACAGGGCGTCAGTGCAAAACTCACCATCGAGCTCATCTCTCGTTCTTTTCATGGCCACCAATGCCTTCTCAAAAAATGGTTTCAACTCCAAATCCTCCTCTGCCCACGTGTCCCTATGGATCTCGTATTGCCTAAACCAGGCCTCCAAAGAGTCAATCGGTGAGGAGCCATTCCTTGAAGGAAGCCTTGGGTCGGCGCCAGCTTCAAGCAAAAGTTCAACAACAGGAAGGTTTTGCTTGAGCACAGCATAATCGACAGAACGACCATCGCAGATTGCCCAGTCCAGTGCGCGACCTTCGGCACGGGGGCGGCGATCTAGTTCGTTGGGAGAGAAGCCTGCGGCTAGAGCAGTGCGCATGAGCGCGAGACGGGTTTCCAGAGGCTTGTTGGATACTGCTTCCCTGAAGAGAGTGAGCTCGTTGATATCTGTGCTAGCAGGTACTTCGGAATTCATGTCGGTGGAACGGATTTGGTGATAACAGTTTGGGGTGCGGATCGGAGTGCAGTGAAATGCTGTGTAAGGGTGGCAGGGTGTTGCGTCGTTTCTATAGAACTATGCCAGCCGAGATGGTGACCACAGTCCTTACGCAGTTGCAAATGTTGATGATCACTAAGGGGCCGTCGTGCATAAAGAAATGCGACGTAGTTTAGTTCCGAGAAACACTGCTATTGTTTTTCGTCTAGTCCACACTAAGTAAGGTGTTTGAGGGCTCCGTGTCAAGTTAGTTGGCCAGAGTCTGCAGGTCACATGACAAACATCAACATTTCCTTCCCCTCGAGACTGGCCTAACGCAACCAGAAAAGCCCATAAGATCGCAATAGGCGAAAAAAAGAAGAATTTTAAGTTTTATTTTCCTCTAAAATGAAAGATATTAAGGATGGAAAAAGAGAAAATCTACTGAAGTTTTGCCGAAGTACAGTCAAAACAATTCTTGGTGTACGAGATGGCATCGTTCGATTATGTCGCCATACCTACAGCGAACAGGAATGGTTTGCACAAAAAGAACTTAGGTGTTATTCATATGGTGCAACTATATAGCCGCAGTATGTATGTTGTAGATAAACACTACCTAATTCCGTCGTAGGTAAGTAAATGCCGTTGAGGTCGGGACACTCTATACGTACAGACTGATTCAGACTTTCAAAACTTCCCGTCGCAACATCAACATAGTAACACAATATTTCCAGATAATATATTGAGTTCAGTCTTCGGATCTGAACATTGTTATTTACTTATGATACCACGGGGGCGTAAATTCTACGTTGCTGACAATGTATTGATTTAACACCAAAGGTGATCATAACTACATATCTCTCAACCACCCAAGCTTTGCGTCGCCCTAATCCCAGTATTTTAATGGTAGCTGACTTGAAGTTGCCATCACGATAATCGTAGATGATGTTGCGTCTTATCGTAACGTGTGGGCACACACAAGCGTGAATCAACGCGTCTTTGCATCTTTTTCCGCAGTTGAGAATCTTATACTGGCTAGAAACCAAGACAATCTCTCTATGAGTCGGCCATTTATCTGCATTAATATCTAGTTCCGGGTCAGTGCCCTAACACGGTAATTGGCATTGAAAGTAGAAAGTGGGGTAGGATTGGCACTCTGGAGTCAGGCGACCTTTTCTTCTGCATCGCAACACGAACACAACCACCGCCAATCTCATGCAGCTTATTTTCAATATCTGTTTATAGTGTTATAAACCTGCTCAAGGCACCACATGTCGTCACTCTAGCAGCGCATCTCAGGTCTCTCAACGCCAGTATGATTTCCCATGTGGTAGTTTTTCAGTGGGGCAGATCGCGTGCACACTGAACAAAGTATGCTATTTAGTGACATGAAAGGGCCATTTTCCAATTCCTGGAGGTCGAGAATTTCAAATCTGAAGCTTACATCTTCCGCCCAGAGCGTTGACTGCACTTGAAAAGGAAGGTGTTCGTTTTACGTTGATCAAGAAATACTTGTGGCTAGAATGCCATACATCGTGAATTTCTCGGCTGCAATCAGGTGGCGGGACAAGTTGCACTCTTGCATCGGAACGGCACATGCAATTGGATCTTCTGCGCTTGGCTCAGCACTGCAGCATTTGCCAAGGGCGGACACCCGTTATCCAAGATTGCTCGGCACCAATCACACACACAACGTCGCATGCTCGGATTGAAGGATCGTTGTGGAGAGACTATCTTGCTCTCTGTGTTGATGCTTATCTCTGGGCGTTCGACATGTCGGACTACTTCTTCTGTGCCCAGATACATATCGTTGACGGCTTTGCTGAATGAGGCAGCTCACAAGGCGAAAGAATTGTGTCGCAAGGACCTAGATAAATAGTTTGGACGGGCCCCTTATGCAAGGCTCAGGTCCGTTCGTTCAACACTCGTCACAATGTCGACTGGTGCCAATCTAGAGATTGCGGATGCCGCTCTAGCAGCCACCCCCGCCGTTCAGAATGATGTGAGAGCAAGTGCAAGTTTTGAGAAGAAAGACAGCTTTGTGAAAACTTCTGAGAGTCTTCGCGGTCCTAATGGCGAGGAGTATCCTACTGACGAGGAGTGGGCAACACTTCGCCGCGTGTATGGAAAGGTCAGCTGGATGAGTAAGCGCACTACCTGAATATCTTTCTGTGTCATTTGAATTAATTTCTAACTCCACGGATAGTTTACGTCATCGGAGTTGTCGAAATGTGTGAGCGTTTTGCATACTACGGAACAACCGCAGTGTTTGTGAATTTCATTCAGCAGCCACTGCCTACCACTGGACCATTCCCGGAAGCTGGAGCCGCTGGTGATGGCCAGCCCGGAGCATTGGGAATGGGCCAGCGTGCCAGTACGGGTCTGACTCAATTCAACACCTTCTTTTCGTACATCATGCCTTTAGTCGGTAAGAATTTCCCTTCAAAACTCGCCATATCTATGCTGAATACGCTGTCTAGGTGGTTGGCTAGCAGATGAGTACTTGGGCAAGTTCAAGACCATTTACGTGGCTATTTGCGTTGCCACGCTGGGACACATCTTAATCATCATTGCCGCCATACCTCAAGTCATGGGACCAAACCCGAATGGAGCTCTTGCCTCGTTCATCCTGGGTCTGATTCTATTTGGTGCAGGTGTTGGATTGTTCAAATGCTGCATCTCGCCACTCATTGCGGAGCAATATGAGGCTAGTCACCCGAGAGCGACTATACGCGTTGAGCCGAACGGAGAACGCGTTATTGTCGACCCCGGAATTACCTACTCCAGAATTTATATGCGCTATTATCTTTTGATTAATGTGGGAGCATTGGTTGGTCAAGTCTCTATGGGTAAGTTGATTTTGACAAAGGCAATAAAATAGCTGCTAACCTTCCTCTCAGTTTACGCCGAGAAATACGTCGGATTCTGGCTTTCATTCACACTTCCAACTATTCTCTTTGCCTTCTGCCCACTCTTGATGGTCGTATTCAGCAAGCACTATGTCAAGAAGCCGCCACAGGGCGACGTACTCCTCAAGTCCTTGAGAGTGTACGGATTGGTCTTGAAAGGCCGTTTCTCAATAAACCCAATGGACACATGGAGGAACTTCTCGGACCCGAATATTTGGGAGAGCGCGAAGCCGAGCAAGATGGCCAATAAGCCATCGTGGATGACGTTTGATGATGCGTGGGTTGAAGAGGTCCGACGTGGTATCAAGGCCTGCGAAGTGTTCCTCTGGCTGCCCATCTTTTGGTTGCCTTATAGTCAAATGTTCGTCCAAGTGCCATTAAACCATTTATGACACAAGCTGACTCTGATCTTCGTAATCTAGGACAAGCAATCTGGTCTCCCAAGCATCGACCATGAAGCTCAACGGCGTACCAAACGACATCGTCCATAATCTAAACCCCTTCACTCTTCTAATTTTCATTCCAATCTTCGACAAGATCATCTACCCCAAGCTGGCACATTGGGGCATCAAATTCTCGCCCTTGAAGAAAATCCAAGCTGGTTTCGTTTGCGCGCTGCTTTCCATGGTGGTCGCTGCAGTCATCCAACACTTCATCTACGAAAAGTCTCCATGTGGCAAATATGCAGGCAGTTGTGACGTACCCCCAGACCTATCGGTATGGACTCAAGTCCCTGCATACGTCCTCATTGCGTTTTCGGAAATTTTTGCCTCGATTACCGGATTGGAATACGCGTACACCAAGGCACCCAGAAACATGCGATCATTCGTGACGGGTATGTTCTGGTTCACTCACGCATTCTCATCTGCCATTGCGCAGGCCTTTGTGCCTTTGGCTGACGATCCGCTGCTGGTGTGGTTGTACACGGGTATTGCCATTCTAACATTGCTTGGTTATATTGGGTTTACTTGGACATTTAGATCGCTGGACAAGGAAGATGAGAGCCTCGATAAGCTTCCTGAAGGCGAGTACCAGTCTAACGCAGAATTCAAGGCGGAGAAGACTGCGGATGCGGAGAGGGCTTAGCTGGAGATTCTTGGGCTCTGGTAAGGGGTTTGCGTTGACTGATCGGGTATTGAGTTAGTATTGATTAATTCCACGGGAATCCTTGGCTACAAATTTCTGGCCAAGTCGTATTTACTTATACCTACATATTCATCCTTTCTATGGTTGATGTGTGGCGGCCAACCATCAAGGATGCAAAGTCTTTTTAGTGCCCCACATGCTCTCATTCTTCTTTCTCATGACCGTAACCGTTCACACAAGTAGTGGCCATGCGGCTTGAAATAATACCCACTGAAATATTCCCGGGAATAAGCTATAACCGACACTAATTCTGTCCTCTCCCACACGTGTGGCCTCTTCCGAGGAAACCATGCACTCATCGTCATACGTGGGTCCAAGCTTCAACCCACAAGCCACAAAAACCCATAATTCCAGGACCCGCAATGCTATCCTGCTATCACCACTTTTCCGATAAGGATCCATTTTTAAGCGCAAGCGCGTACATATTGTCATGAAGACGGAGCGGTGGGTAAAGCCTCCAAGGGGGTGGTCTCGGATACACCACGGAGTTTCGATTTTTTCTCGGGGGACTGAAGGTAGAGTGGAGAATACATAGCAATGAATCTTTTTTCCAAATAATTATAAAAAGACTCTTGCTCGTTTCGTTCCTTTCATGTTGAGAGTTTTGAGAAGTTTTTTTTTCCGCCATGGCATTCTTCCTCCAACGCCGAGCCATCCAGCAACATGTCAAACAAGAACTCTCCCGTATAACCGACTCCCCTGACGAATTTTCCAGATACACTCCTCGGAAGCCAGAAGAACAAGAAGCGCAGGAATCCGGAGATGACGAAGCAAAAGGTGAACCGTTCACGCAGATACCGGGTATCATGTTGATGCAAGATTCCAATGGGAAAGTGTATTACCAGGTTGGTTGGGCTGGTCCTGATGACCCATTGAATCCAAAGAAATGGTCTACGATTCACCGTGTGGGCGCTACCATGCTTGTTTGCCTCGTCGCATTTGTGGCAACCATCGCTTCCTCAATCGACTCCGCTGTCTTGACGAGTGCGACTGCTGAACTTGGGGTCTCGGAGGTGGCGGAATCGCTGGCTACTGCGCTGTTTTTAGTTGGAATGGGATTGGGAGCATTACTGCTTAGCCCGCTTTCTGAGCTCCTGGGACGGTATCTCGTTTACCTTGTTTCGCTATTCATTTTTGGATGCTGGATCCTGGGCGCAGCTTTGGCGCCGAACTTTGGCGCTCAGCTTGTTTTCCGGTTTCTGGCTGGATTCTCCGCCAGTGCTCCGCTCACGGTGGCTGGTGGGACGGTAGGAGACATGTGGGATCCAGTCGAAAAGACGTTTGCGCTTCCGTTGTACGCCATTCCCGCATTTGGCGGACCAGTTTTTGGTAAGTCCTCAATACTGATGTCTAATTCACAGAGTTTACCTTAGAAACTTTACTAACACGATTGATAAATAGGACCAGTCATAGGTGCCTATGTTGGCTACGACCCATCTGTCGATTGGAGATGGGCTGAGTGGATAACACTGATCTTGGTCGGCGCAACGTTCATCCTTATCCTACTTCTCAAAAAAGAATCCTTCGCCCCACGAATCCTGCATTACAAAGCAGCTTGCTTCCGCAAGCTTACAGGAAATGAACGCTTCTTAACAGCAGCAGAAGCCTCACATGCCTCGCTAGGCGAGCTAATGTCCAAGAGCTTCTTGCGGCCATTTTTTCTCTCCACACAACCAATCGTTGTAGCATTCACCTTATACTTGACGATTGTGTACATAATCTTGTTCACTTTCCTGGATGGGTATTTATCTCCTGAGACTTCCCCCAGGAGTTTTGAGTAACGCTAACCTCTCATAGTTACCCCTTCATCTTCGCAGAAACTTACGGCATTAACGAAGGTCTCTCCAACATCTGCTTCATGGGCCTCTTTATCGGAATCATGCTTTCGGCAATCCTAGTCCCACTTGCCTACCGCCGGACCCTCCAACAACTCAAAAGCGATGGAGACGACGGATCTGGCAAACTGGTCCACCGAGAATCGAGATTATTCTTTGCCATGGTGGGCGCACCTGCACTACCCATCGGCCTCTTCTGGATGGGCTGGACTGACTACGTAAGCACCACCGTATTTCACCCTTTATAGCATTTCTAACTATCAAATTAGAATTCCATCTCGATATGGTCGCCCCTAGCCGCATCAGTTCTCGTCGGATTCAGCAACATTTGCATCTTCATGTCTGCTTACATGTACATCATTGATAGCTACGAAGCCTACGCTGCCTCAGCACTTACCTTCAATGCGCTCACCAGGTACATTGCAGCGGGAGGTATGACTGTGGTCGGTATACCAATGTATAGGAGCCTAGAAACGCACTGGACTTTGACGTTGCTGGGGTGTCTTGGGGTGCTCACTGTGCCTATTCCGTATGTGCTCTACCGGTATGGACCGAGTCTGAGGAGGCGTAGTCAATGGGCTGTTTAAGAAAGTGTATTGGTGAATTCGACTATCTGTTTCTTTTGGAAATTTAACAATTGAGGATTTTATTACCAACTGTGAATGAGTGGTTAAACTGCACGGGCAAAGGATAACACGGCCCGCACCAACACCAACATCTTCACATTTCCACGGCTCAATCACGTACGATCACGGAAACTCGTTCGATCTTCTCTATTTAAGCAGTTTACCGGTGAGTTAGTAGTCAGGCGGGTGACCACTGGCGAATCCTCGCTGTCGTATGTTTTTGTCGATTGTTTTTGATCTCTGAAGAGGCGCATACAAGGAACTCGTACTAACATCCGTCTTTTTGTTGCAAGTAGATGCTCAGAGGTATGCTGGGTGTTAGAAATAGGTTGTAAAGACTGATGATCCGTTCATTTCATTGATTCGGGTATCCATAACGACAATGCCTACTTCTTTTGATCCACTACAAGGCGCCCTGATACGACTAATCCAATTGCGCTACAATAAAACTCCAGACGCCCCTGGTTCTTCTATTACAGAAAATACTCAGCGGCCGCATTGTGCGACCTGTGCACAACGTCGTTTGCGAGTAGGCCACCCATCAACCCCAAGTCCCTGATTTGTGCCTTCTCCACGGCAGTATCCATTTCTTGCCCGTCCTAGAGGAAGTAATCCGCGACGGGCTTCTTTGCCGGCATACCTCTCGAGTCTTGGGGCGCGGCTTCAAAAACGCGGTATCTTCGTCCTGGGCCATCTCTGTTCTTCTGGAAGTTGTCGTTGAGCATATTGCTTAAGCGCCTCTCGCCATTGGGCCCAGCATTGGAGCCGAGAACCCAGCCTCCGCCACCGCCACCTCTATCTCCGTTTGATCTCCTCTGGTAGCCGGCGTTGGAACCGTCCTCGCCTAGCTCAAGGATGGCAGCTACATTACCGCAACGGTAGCAGTAGTTGGGTGCTGACCAAACCGTTACAATGGTTGAGTCAAACATCTCCTTGAATCCCTCCATGACAAGTTGGTGGGCTCTTGCGATAAGACTAAGGTCGTTCTTGTGGTTAAATGTCTTGACGATGTCTGCGCCAAACAAGAAACCTGCACCACGCGGTGATAGACCCCAACCATCTATCTCGTCAGGATCAGACCAAAGAAGGTCGCACATGGCCCCCTCGTGGGGCACTTCCTGCTTTCGGTCAAGTAGTCGGATCTTATCGACCGAGTCAACGAGGGGCGACAGACCGCCGTGTACACAGAGGATAGCACCTGTATCGTTGCGCGCCGAACCATTGGCCGAGGACGTTGCGCCTGTGCCTGCCGGGCCAACGCGTCCGGGGGTTTGAGAGACGGGCGACGATGAACCCAAGTTCCCGCTCATTTGCGACGCAGCGCTCGAGTGGGAGTCTGAGTTGCGAGCATAGCGGTACATGACCTCGCCGCTTGCGTTCAAAGTCTCAATCTCGATATCCTGGTCAATGTCGGGCATGTTTTCCGCGTTGCTGGACTCTGCAATGGGTCCATCGGTGGCTTGGAGGGACGTCGCAGCGCCTTGGACTAGAGCTCCAAGAGCGAGGTAGTCGAAGACTTCACAGCAGTATCTATTACACGTCAACTGCTATTCTAGCAAAGTTTTAGCTTGGCGCCGTACCTCCAGACGTTTGCGCTTCCATATTTCCGCAGGCACTCATCATAGAAACCATAAACTGTAGTTATTTGTCTTGATTCATGGTTGCCTCTAATGAGCGTTATTCGATCTGGATGTCGGACTTTGAGGCATAGAAGCAGGAGGAAGGATTCGAGGGAGTAAAAGCCGCGGTCGACAAAGTCACCTGCAAGTTGGTCAGTTAAGGTATTGTCGGTGCCATAGATAGCGCTCGTCCGTACCCATGAAGAGATAGTTTGTGTCTGGGACATCTCCACCAACACGGAATAACTCCATGAGATCGTGAAACTGTCCGTGGATATCACCGCATATCTGTTGACATGATAAGGTTAGCTGTGCCAAAGGAAGAGTCAACAAGCTGCCTACCGTAACTGGCGCATCAACTGCCACTACGTTGCCCTCTTCAATTAGCAACTCACGTGCTTTATAACATAGCTCTCGCACTTGGTTCTCGGGAATAGGACGACATGCACGGAGCTGCTGAATGGCCCTGTAATCGCCGTCAGTGCCGTACTTTGCGTACACATGTCGAGACTCAGTGGCTGGTCGTACTTGTCGAGGTCGCTACCGCCAGCGCTCATGGTGACGGCTCTGCGCTATGAGCGCACGCAAGGGTATTTTGAGAAGCGAATGTAGAGATATTGGGACAATGGGCGCAACGTGTGGGTGTCTGCAAAGCTATATATCTCGAAGAATTCAGTGGGGGCGGGTGCTATCGCTGGTGGCGGAACGCGTGCGGCGCGTGGTTGTCGTGCAGCCAAGAGGATCAGTCGGTGCTAGAGATGCTCTTGTAGGCTTCTTCGTGTAAGAATGGTACTCGTATGTCGATTTGAAGTTGTTTAGTAGCTGTGTAGGCGCATAATGGTGGGTTGGTGGTATCGTGTATAAGATCCACAGCGGGCGTTCCGACATGCAGGGATCAGCGTTGAGCCGAGCAGCTAGTAGCTCGGCCTTGGACCTTCCCTCCACCAAAAGTCATTTATCACTAGCAACCCCGCGCCCACCACTCCCCCGACGTCTACGCTTGCTCGAGGCACTTCAATTAGCCTCGTGCCATCTCTCTCGCTGCTGGTCAATTACTACGACACCGTTGACAGCCCACCAAGCCCCTCAATGCCTCTGAAATCCGCTCTCTAATTTGCACACCACCCACCAAACATGCCTCCTCACCTTCACCCACGGTCGCGCATGACGACTTCGCTCTTTACATCCACTCTGATGATTTCATTCCTCGTCGTCGCTGCCCCACACATCTTGCCATGTCCTGTCGATCCGCGCACACTTGCCGACTCAGCAGATCCCACAGGAGAAAATAGAAGGCGGCGGAGAAGGAGAATATCCGATGGCGAGATTAATGAAGACTACTTGAGCGAAGAAAGGAGGAGGAGGCAGCTGATTGAGGAGAAGCTGGCGGCCAAGCGCGAATGTCCCGTCCCTAAGCCTGGCGGGCTGATTGGCCAGGTCTTGGGCGTCCACGAGGAAGACCAGAAAGAACAACAGCCGTCCATTGTACAGAGAGTAGAGAAGGCGATATGCAGGCCGTGGGGGAAGACTGGAGAGCAATAACGGATCTGGAGAGGAAAAGCAATACACCGGATTGGGCATGTCAATGCGTCATCAGAGCGGAGTGTGAAGGAATTAGTGAATGTCGCATACTTCGCTCAATGACTAATTATACCACTGCAAGTTATGTGCAGAAATCACGAAAAAAAATACAAAAAACGGATGCATTACAATGTATATTAGAGGATATTAGACCCTATTACATGTCAACCCAACGCAGATTCGCGTACGGAGACTACTTGACTAGTGTGCACGATTCTTGGAAGAGCACGTTAATCACTAGATGTACATTCAACGACAACGCTTGCACCGAGACTGAGGCCCAGCACGCGGACACCACATGGCAGTGCATGACAGAGGAAACGTGATGGCGCGTCGCATAGCGTGAACGCACTACGTCATCAGAGACAGACGACAACAACTTACCAACAACTGTTTCAACTCTCCCATGGCCGTCTACATATTCCCAAAAGACTAAAATCCCGGCCAAATATATACCCAAAATGCCCACTGAACCACTTACCAAAGCCCAACGCATGACCTACCGCATCGGCCGTGGCGAAACCGGCGTCTTAACCTTCGAGCCCTACAAATCCTCTATCCTTCCCCTCTGGCGCTTCAAAACCCCTTCCATCGCACGCCAATCCTCATCCGCAATCTACACCAAGTTCCTACATTACAACGACGAAGATGACTTCATCGGCATGGACATGGCGCGCAAGTTCTTGCAAATGGGTATGACGCGTGCGAAGAGGTATGCGAATCATGCTGGAGGTAGGAAGTATGATAAGAAGACGGGAAGGGAGCTGGAGAAGAGCACGGGACATGTGGGCATGAAGGAGAAGTTGGAGGCGAGTGAGGTGTTTAGGGAGGTGTGGGAGAGGGCAAAGGCACATGAGGGATATCGGGTGAAGAAGGAGGCGTTTTTGAAGGAGCAGAAGGAGTGGGATAGGGAGAGGAAGAGAGAGATGAGGGAGTGAGGGGTTGCTTCCAATGTTGTACGTGCCTATTGGGTTCTTTTGTATTCATGGAACGATGAGTTGGCGTTGGATGACACAACTGATGAGCTACTATTTTTGTATACCCTAAATTTGCCAGAGATTTGACATATTCATGTTGCATATTAGTCAAGTCAGCATTCACATTATATATTAAATTGTTTGTGTAATCTGGAATCTGGAATGTGGTTATGTTGGAAAAAGTCTTTCTTGCATCTACTCCATGCAGCGTAAACAAAAACGAGTGGAAAGAACACAACAACGCGCAGCAATCATCACCGTACCAAAGTCAACCAAATACGATGGAGAATCTACAACCTCATTTCCTCGCTTCCAATGACACGGTAAAAGAAACTCGACGCGTATAGACCTACCACACCCGCGTACAGAAATTCCAGCGACAAATCAACTACTCACACATTCAATCTATACGATACTAAAGTCAAAGCGAAGACCCCAAGAACACCACTCAAGTCCAGCAAACACCTGCCCAAAGCTCTCATACGACCATATCGATCTAAGCTCAAGCAGCTCAAAGCCCATTTACAACAACAATGCACCGCCGTCCCCATAGATAACCAGCACCAGCACTGGCATCACCATTCAGTCCCAAACATTGCAGCACGAGAAGCTCCTCCATGTCTACTACGTGTCCCTGCTCAGTCCCTCATACTCACTGAGAAAACCAACCCCCTTTTACCACCATCTCCCATCTCATCCCCCTACATCCATCCCGTCGCCCTATCACACAACAAGACGTTTCCCCCCCCCCCTTTTCTCACGATACACAAGAAATCAACAAGAACAAACCAGCCAGACACTCAGAGACAAACTCAGAGACAGTAAGAGATAAGAAGAAGAGAAAAAAAAAGGGGGGGGGGTTCTGGGAAGGACGTCAATGCACCGCATTACCGCTTTCTGTCACAAATTAAACCCATCACACGTCCTTGAATCATTGTTTATTAACATCATCCGCATATACTATAGCTCCGTAAATCACGGGTTTACATCATAACAGTAATGTAACTAAGTAACGATGGGGGGGGGGGGAGATGAGAAGGTGAAGGTGGTACTAAGTGCTAAGGAGATGGAGAAGGCATGTGATAAGAGTTGGAGACGAATAGCAATGGAGATGGAGAAAAAAAAGCGATGATGGAAAAGTTGGAAAAAACATAGAAATAGAGCAAGGAGATGAGGAAGAGTAAAATTATCGGTTGGGGGAAATTTCCGATTACGGTAATGTGGTGGTGGTGATGGTGGTGGGGGCCCTATGTGTGGATGATATTGAAATTTAATATGTGATTGGTGGGTAGGTGTGCCGAGGAGAAGAAAAAATAGACAAAGATTGCTTCATTTGTATACAGAAATAGGGTTTGTTTGATCCGATGGTTTGATGTAATTAACTGGGTACAATATGAGTTCCTGAAAGGGGGTGAGTAGAATGATCATGTCAAGGCGGGTAAGTGGTGTTGTTAGTTAGTGCATAGTACAACTCGAATCCCTGAACCCTTTTTGATCACCGCCCTCCCTCCCTCCCTTCGCTTCCACCCTCCCCATGACTTGAGGGCCTATGCCAAAAAAGACACCAAATGAGGTGATTAAGCTCCGACCCTTGTCTTCCCACCCGTCGCCCATGTCACTGGGAAATGAACAGCTTTTGCGTGGCGATCGCGTTACAACATCCTCGTGTCCATCCTTGCACGCTTCTTTTTTTCTTTCCCCCTTTGGCCAAGCAAAAAAGTGGGTTCTGGGAATATTTTGTGGGGCTCTATGTGAAACACACGTTTTTTCCTAATTGACCGAATGACGTAGATAATCCTGAAAGTAGGTCAGCAATGAAAAGGAAAAATCATATTTCTGTGCTATCGTGTGTGATGATATCATCCGTCGGTCAGGCCACGCAATGCAATTAACCAAGCAAGTGCTGCACATGAGAGTGAACAACCTCGCAACAAGCCAAGGAAGCCCTGAAAAATGTCGCGGGAAGAAGGCGTTCAGGAAATTACGTCTCTGCCATTGGGCCCTGATGCAGCGCAAACCGAGAACATGTGGGGTAGCATCATTATTGATAGGGCGGGAGAGCACGCCAAAAAAGGGGCAGGAGCAGCGAGGTGAATGGGCACCGTGCACCAAAGACGCAAGTCGCTATTCCTCCGATCATATCCGCGACGAAATCTCCGCGCTATAGAGACAACATCCCTGGAGCCACCAAAGTGTTAGCATAAAGTGGCCTTAGAAGCCGCTGAGCCGAAGGCGTGTGCGTCCGAAGCCGGTGCAAGACTATACAAGACTTGGTGCCAATCGTCAACGACTTTACCGCATGGAGGCATCCCATGTGTTCCGATATGTTTCATGATTTGTACATGCTATTCGCGTGTCGTTATCGGCTGACAAACTAGTCGAGGTGATGGTGCTGGGTTGGCGCGTTCGTGGGCTGAGAAGACTGCTTGTGGGGGTGTCCACTCTATCTGTTGAGTACGAGCAGTGTTAGTGCAATGGCTTCAAAGCTGATAATGGCAAGCAAACGGGGGCATTGGTGATACGATGGATTCTTTCACATGTTGGCAATGTGAGTGCTTCATCGAGTCTTGGATTGTAGTGCGAAAAGCGTAGTCGAGTAGTCTTTTCGCAAGTACGTCGCGTTCTTTTCAAGCCTATCCAGTGGCTAGTCGATCTGCAATCTATGCCTGCTCCTTGAGCTTCTCTTCAATCTCTTCCAGGTCCTCAGCACTATCGATTTCAATGATGCGGCCAACTTCACTTGTGTTCCGCATGAGCTCCTTTGCACCCGCGTACAGCATCTTGACCTCGCTGTTGCACGTTATGGGGAGGTAGTAGAGCATGACATAAGGCACGGACAATCGCCCAGAGTTCTGTTTGTCTCAGTGGTTTATTTCAGTGAGTCATGTTGATGGTAGGCGTACGAGTGTCAACGGGTAGCTTAGGAGCACGAATCGGGGAGCATGGTCGGGAAGCTCGTCTGCAAGGGACTGGACGTCTGAATAGACCTCGCCATCTACCGGTCGTATCTCGAGCGTCTTCTTATCGATCTCGTCTGGCGCGCAGAGGCGTCAGCGCCATTGTATGGTATAACAAGCCCGTGTGGCGGCCTCGGTAGTAGTGCTCTGCGGCAAGGCACTTGTAGTAGACATGATGGAAAGGTCACTTGAGCATACAGATGACAGCTTGCGGGTCTTTGGCTCGGCTTGTGCCGAGTCGGAATTTTCGTAGCTTGGTCTTGGTCTCGTCTGAGAAGGTGTAGAGTCGTGCTTCCGAAGACTGGCCGAATGATTAGTAGAGTGTCTAGTCTGGTGGCATGTGTAGCGGCAAGAGCACTTACCATGATGTTTCACGATAAGCGGGAAGAATGCTAGAGTTTGGTAATGTTTGTAGGTGGTGTGAGACTGATGGTGGCCCTTGTTGGTGGGGTAGGGCGGGGGGGATCGGAGAACGGCGCTAGTTGAGTAGCTCCATGTAGCCATCATGTCCATCATGCACCTTGCCTTTTGCTCGAGTTCTTCTTTCTCATGCACCTCGCTGTTTTAGACTTTGCTGAGTCGAGGCCTGTTGATTGATTCATGTTTGGACGACTCAATCAGGTTGCTAGACAACTGTCTCGTCCATTGCCCAACTTTGCGCACCGGCCTGCGGCTTCTTTTGGCCAATCGATAACGTCATCAGTTATGGCTGCACCGCAGCAAAAGAGTCTAATCCACACGGCGGGATGCCTGATCATAGGAGACGAAGTGCTGGGAGGAAAGGTTTGTAGAGGGCGCGCTATATTCATGGTTCGCAGCAGCTGACGTGAAACCTAGACTGTCGATACAAACTCGGTATGCTAGGGCGGATCGACGCGGTGACATTGCGGCTAATGTTGTTCAGGCATATTTTGCAAAGTGGTGTTTCTCGCTGGGGATCAATCTGCGCAGAGTTGAGGTGATTGCGGATGACGAGGGCGAGATTGTTGAGGCAGTCCGACGCATGTCGAAGAACTATGATATGGTGGTGACGAGCGGTGGCATTGGACCCACGTGAGTTGAAAGCGCCCTCGCTACGCCATGCAGCCACTGGGCTAATGAGGGTCCAGTCACGACGACATAACCTACCAATCGATAGCGAAGGCGTTTGGTTTGCAGTTGAAGCTGCACGAACCGGCGTTTGAGCGGATGAAGCGTCTTTCGAAGCCGCACAAGTCACAGCCCGGCTTTGACTGGAACGTGGATTCGCCTGCGCTGACGGCTAAGAAGCGCATGGTTGAGCTGCCGATTGACGAGTCGTTGGCGGACGAAGATCAAGTAGTCTTTATCGATGATTCGCTGTGGGTGCCAGTTAGCGTGGTCAATGGCAATGTCCACATTCTGCCTGGTGTGCCACGACTTTTTGAAGCTTTGTTGGACGGACTGAAGCCCCGCATCCTGCCGCGCTTGACGGACCCGGAGGGCAAAGGGGTATTGCGCATTCTGATTTCGACGCCACTGGCTGAAAGCAGCGTTGCGGGATACCTGACAGAACTTGCAGCGAGGGCGGAGCCAAGGGGAGTCAAGGTTGGCAGCTATCCGAGATGGGGCAAGGATCGCAACACAGTGACGCTGGTTGGTCGGGATCGTGAGTTTATGGAGAGCCTGGTGCCTGAGGTGGAAAAGGCAGTGGAGGGGAGGCGGGTCAGTGTAGAGGGCGAGGATGACGGCGAAACGTCGGACAAGGATTCGTAGACAGTGATGTGGTGCATGGTAGGCAAAGTGTACTATCTAAGTAAATACATGGTATGTAAATAGTGTGTATGTGTATATTTATATATAGCGCAACCAAGGAACGGGCTGATGCAGGGACGTGTGGAGGAATGTTAAGTAATAGTAGTAGTAGTAGTAGTAGTAGTAGTAGTAGTAGTAGTAGTAGTAGTAGTAGTAGTAGTAGTAGTAGTGGTGGTGGTGGTGGTGGTAGAACAACTTCTCGAAGACAGATGAAGCCCTGCCCTACCGCCACACACGGGCAGCAGACCCGGCACTGGCACTGGCACTGGCACATGGGGGGACGGGGTGACAAGTAAGGGAGCGAGGGATAGAAGGGGGCAAGGGGGCAAGGGGGCGGATGGCATTACCATGACGAGAAGTGCAGTGTGTATGTATGGAGAATGTTACATGTGTAGTAAAGCATGTGTGTGGTGGGCGGGGCTCACGTGGGCAGCTTGTTTTGGGGCGTGGGTAGTGCTGACTGCCGAGTGGTTGGTTCCTGGCATCCCCGCTCTGCCGCTCCAAGCACTGTGGTACCCGCCGCCGAGGTGCATGGTCGCGCCCGCGGCTATGGGTGCAGAGATGGGGTTGATGGGTGGACATGGACAGAGGCATGTGTGGATGCATGGTGGATGTAGACAGCCGTGGGTGATGCAGTGCAGGTGTGGCAGAGCGACGCGGTCGACATGGTTTGCGGCAGCGCTTGGTGTTTTTCCTGTGGTGCCGAACCACCCCCCCCCCCCCCTGGTGCACAGTAGTGGTTCGCGCGAGGACATTATGGACCCCGTGCCGTATGGTTTTGGGCGCTGGGATCGCATGGAAGCATCGGAGGCAGCCCGTCGATGTGGCGCCTGTATGTCGACGACGCGCCGCTTTTGGCCTCTTTTGCCTGGCTTGCTTTTGGGGCGGCGTGGGCGCGAGGGCGGTAGTGCACAGCGGGTGGTGAGGCGGGCGGGCCAGGGAGTGGTGTGTATGTGCGTGTGTTCACAGGCGGGCCATGGACAGGACGAGGGCTGCCGGCGCTGCATGCAGACGCCGGGCCTACTCGCCTTGCAGCCGGCGCACAAGTAAGGTGGTACATAGTAGTAGAGGCTGGTGGGGACGGGCGACGGGTCCTGTTCATGGGGGCGTCGGCGTCATGGAGCTGGTGGTGGCTCTGGGTGGCTCTGGGTGGCTCTGGGTGGCTCGGGGAGGAGATGGTGGTGTGGGCGGCCGTGGGCGCGCAGGCCAGGCGTCGCGGGCACAGGGCAGCAGCGCTAACGGGCGCGCCAGTCAGAGGGCTGGTGCATGTCCTGTCCTGTCTGCCAAAGCCGCTCCCTTGCTCACGCCGCCCCAGACGGACCTAGTGCGCTGCTCCAGCTGCTCCAGCTGCTCCAGCTGCCCTCACGCCGCCGCTGCTCAAGCTGGTGCGCTGCTCCGCTCGCCTGCTCGCCTGCTCTGCTGCTCACGCTGCCACTAACTACCGCGACCGCGACCGCTGCCTCTGCCCTGCTTCCTCTCTGCCCTGCCCTGCCCGCCCTGCCCTGCCCTGCCCTCCAACCCTGTCCTGCCCAGCCCGCTTCTGCCCAGCTCCGCTCTGTTCTCCTGCTCCTTCTCGGTCGCGACTCCTCTTCCTTCGCTTGCCACCGCCAACCCCCCGGACCACTCCCTCCCTCCCTCTCCCATCCACCACGTCCACCGCGCGTCGTATCGCCACACGTCTGCGTGCCCGTCTCCTCTCGCTTGCATCTCGAGAGCACGTCGCTCTTTGTTTCCGCCTCACCCAGCCCTGGCCCCGTTACCCGTCACTGAGCTCGGCCCCGTACTTGCTAAAATCTAATATACCCATTGCCCGGCGTCCTCAGCATCGTCCGGCATCTCTTCTTCTTCCTTCACAATGGCATCCAAGGTCCGCTGCCCCCTCGCTCCCCCTCCCCCTTTTGCATTCGCGCATCCGCTAACCTGCTCCAGTTTCTTCGAGAATACAAGCTGGTCGTGGTCGGTGGCGGTGGTGTTGGAAAGTCGTGTTTGACCATCCAGCTGATCCAGAGCCACTTCGTTGACGAGTACGATCCAACCATTGAGGGTGAGTGATCAGCCCTGTGCGCCGCCTCCCAAGCCCGACACACACACTAACATGACCAGACTCGTACCGCAAGCAGTGCGTCATCGACGATGAGGTTGCGCTGCTCGATGTGCTCGACACAGCTGGACAGGAGGAGTACTCGGCCATGCGCGAGCAGTACATGCGCACAGGAGAGGGCTTCCTGCTCGTTTACTCGATAACCGACAGGCAAAGCTTCGAGGAGATTATGACATTCCAGCAGCAAATCCTCAGGGTCAAGGACAAGGACTACTTCCCCATGATTGTCGTCGGCAACAAGTGCGATCTCGACGGCGAGAGGCAAGTTTCGACACAAGGTACGCGCCGCCCCGTCTCTCTCTCTCTCTCTCTCTCTCTCTCTCTCTCTCTCTCTCTCTCTCTCTTCCCGATATTGTTTCCCCCCTTTAGCTAACCCGCACGTCTGTTCAGAGGGCCAAACTCTGGCGCGAAACTTTGGCTGCAAATTCATCGAGACATCAGCCAAGTCCCGCATCAACGTCGACAACGCCTTCTACGATATTGTACGAGAAATCCGCAGATACAACAAGGAAATGTCATCATACACGGGCCCCTCTAACTCAAACGGCGCCGGCCCCCAGAAGACAACATTCGAGACGGACGAGCAGGCCGAGAAGAAGGGCTGCTGTTGCGCAGTAATGTAAGGTACTTGGAGTCGATTGTCATTGTTGTCGGGTTAGGCTGTGGAGAGATTACCTACACCGCTCGGTTCCGTCGCCCCCGCCCTGGCCATTGGCGGTGCTGCTTGGTCCAGCAGAAGAAAATACGCGAAGCCCAACTATTACGTACTGCCTGATCCGCCGCCGCCCTGGTGGTACTGCCCTTCGATTGTCTCTCCCTTTTGGACACTGTCATTTTTTGGGTTCGCATTACCGACTTTAACGGATTCACGTCTACTGGACGCGCCTCTGAACACCCTCCTCCCTTCTTCTTCTGCTACTACTACCCACTGGTATCGACCGCTTTTCTTCCTTCTTCTTCTTCTCTTCTCTCTCACACATCTTCTTCAACCTTTTGCTGATTGGCGGCGCTCTTGGCATCCGCCTTGAATTTATTTAGACCGACTGTGTTATGGCATTTTGATCGGTACCGTGTATTTCCTATCGGGGGGAGGTGGCCATGTGAGGTACGATGCGGCATGCTTCTGGGAGTCAAAAGATTTGTGCTGTTCCCTTTGACAGACTTTTAGAGTTGTTTAACTTTTTGTTTTTACCTAACTTCTATGAACATAATTCATCTCTACCATGATGCCGCGGGCCTGTCCTGTTCCTGTTGATGTTGGGTTATCGAGCTTAGGCCTCCCCCCCCGGAGCCTCGGCGACTAGGCCTGTCGTGATAGCAAAGATCATCACGCCCTAGGGCCCTATTCACACTGTGATACGAGTCGTGAGTGGAGGAGCGGAGCGTGATTGGCCCTGCATTCTGACATGTCTTGCGCTATTCATGCACGGCCGTTTCAAGACCAACCTGCGAGCAAAAAGAGGGGAAGTTGATCACGAGAATGGCAGCTGAGATTGACAAGACACGGTCAAGTGGCATAGCGCCCCATGGACTACTTCCCGCCTTGGGACACCTTTCTTTTCTCCGCCTACCCTAACGACCACTTGTCGCCGATCTGGGTTTCAAACGTTGGGCCATGGGATTGGATGGGGATAAGAATGGGGGGGGGGAAAGACGCAAGACGCGACTTTGCTGGGACGAGCCCGATGCGCCGTTCTTGCCGTCCGGTAACACGTGCGCAGTTTGTCAATGCAGAGACAACTAAGTAAGTACATACACGCTTGCACAACCAGGAGTAGCCATCCACGCATCCGAGTGTCCGTCTATATCGTACAAACATTTTCGGATGGCATTCTTCTCATGGGAATTTACCTCTTGTTTTCTTTTTCCTTACTTTTTATGCTTACCAAATTCCATTAGCTACATCCAATGGCAATCAAGCCACCACGCCCGGCAATCCCGCCGTCTACCAATTACACATGCAGTGCTTGTAGATTAGCCTATCCGGGCCATGTGCAATACCAGAGGTGAAAAAGCCTACTTACTCATGCTCGCTTCCGCAGCCGATAGAGGACGCGCGGGATGCCCTTCGGTTGGCAGCATGTGTAGACCTCGTGCATGCTTGGCTTGCATTTGCGTCCACCCACTTACATGTCCATGTGTGGAGAGTACTCTAAAAAGTAACTACTAGAGCGCTACTCCTACAGCCTTGACAGCAAGCCTCCCGGCTGCCGCCGCGGCATGTATGCACGTTTCTTTGGTGGGCCTCATCTCTACTCCAGTGGACGCCTTTTGCCTCGTCATTTCCTCTTTGCTCATCCCTGCATTGGCTCTTATCTCCCATATCCCAGCAGCCTGCCCCCATCCCGCCTCGTGCACGTGTGGTGCCTGGGCTGAGCACCTTGGGCCCTCTTTTTTTTTCCTCGCCGATATTTGAACCAATGGATTGGCACATAGAAATCCAGATTGTTGACGATAGAGGAAGTCTCCAATCCTGATGGCAACCGCCCTCCTTCCTTGTTTGTGTTTGCCCAGCCTGACGGGCATCGGGTTTGCCAAAGACCCGTCTGCATAACATGCGTATTAATTCTTCCGAGTATGGATGTTTGTGGGATGGGAATGCAAGATGAGAAGGATTCTCCCTGATCGGTGTAGCTGAGGAGTAATCTGGTATGCCAGCCATCTGCCCCCGGACACATGGAATTCGTCCAGGACACTCGAAATCACGTGATATCAATACTTGAGCGAGGTTTCACGTGCTTCAACCCTCTCATAGTCGGCAGCCAATCATACGCAGCTTGTTACTTGTCCGCTTCTAGAAGTCTAGCTTAGTACTCCTGCAACTGCGTATCGTGATCTCGTCAGCCAAACCCCGTTCCAGGCTCTACAAGCCAAGCTAAGTCCCCCTTTTCTTTCTTCTTTCCGATCAAACTCGGTTCTTCTCGTCAGATACATCTAAAGCGGAGCACTCACCGGGCCATGTCACATGTACCAGCATGTCACCAGGTAATTACACACGCCGGGCGGCCCTTCTGCATCTCGCATTCCGTCTGACAACGGAACCTTCCGCACACCCAAGTATCGTAACTGCCAAGAAGGACTACATCTCTAATCTGGGAACCCCTCCCTTCTTTCCGTTTGTAAAATGTAGCACCAGCTTGATCCTTGTCTACGTATATGAAACTACATACCTATTGTCCAAGCCAGATTATAACATCTACTACCTGTCCAGTTTCACTCTTACATCGCAAGACCCTCCAAGCCCGCCACCTTCACATGCAACCCGTTCCACGGAGCCACGTTGCGCTGTTGTACAAATACATACATGTGCAATATGAGATATATCGAGAAAAAAAAACTGCAACACGAACACGGATTTGCACATACCGCGGAAGCAGGCAAAAGAGAAGAAATTTCCAATGTGTACTACAAGGTGATGATGCGCGCTCTTGGCGTATAAACCCATTATCAAATTATTTTCTTACTAGACGGGAAGTGCAAAAAAAAAAGAAGAAAAAGTTTTAAGACGGACCTACATGGTACGACACGCCGCGCGGAACTGGGGCAAGAAACAAGAGAAAACTTCGGGAACGAAGTTGGCCGCTTATGCACGTAGATCGGCGGCTCCGCGGGTAATCTTGCATGTGTACATGTACTTCCTGTAACTACCCTATGTTCATAGTTTGGGGCGCCGTCCCTACCCCCCTTATGTCAGCTTTGCATTCGCGCTGACTGACTGCAAGGGTTCGGGGTCTCCGAGTAAACTAGGTTATTTTTTTCGGGTTGCAGACTAAAAGATGTGTGAGCATCTGGGTCCGCGTCGAAAGGAACCGAAACGAGATTTGTGACGAGGCGACTTGACATGGAAGGACATAGCTCACTCGGCAAGAGAGAGAGAGAGAGAGAACGACAACGTTCTAGATGGAAAGAGCAAACATGCTCTGTCATTTTTGAATCTCACACGCATGGTCTCGAATGGACTCAACGCATTCTACCAAGCCTTTGCTACTTTACATCTCGGGGGGAAAAGCAAAAATAAGCTAAATCGTTTACCGTACCCGTAACTACTAGATCCCCCAACCTACCACCTCAGCCGCACCCTCCCAACAGCCTCACCATTCCTCTTTGCCAATCGCAAACCTTCTCCTCCCTTCCGATACCCTTCACTACCTATACAAACCAATGTCCAACCCGCGTCCCTTGCGTCCCCCAACGCCACATCCTCCCTTCCCCGATCAACCTACCCTGGTCACATGCGCCCCAACCCTTCCACTCTCATCGTACCCCAAAGTTGCAACCAGTTTCCCACACTCACATACCTTCCCCCCTCCTTTGCACAACAACAACTTGACTCCAAGTGTAACATTGCAAAAATAGTACTCCACAATCCTTCCCCCCCACATATACGCCGTCACCATGCGCCAAAAATGACATAACCCCACCACTACGCAACCACCCCCCCCCCCCCCCCTTCCCCCTTCTCCTCAATTTGCTCGATTAGCGAGCAAAATATTGCCAAAACTACCACACCCCAATGAAAAAAAGATGCCTTTTTGTGTGTGTATGTGTGTGTGTGTCCGGGATTAAAATGATAGGACCCCACCCCTCGCGGGGGAAGATTGGCAAAGTGAATCGACGATGGAGTGGTTTCGATGGGTTGCCGGGATAGGAAGGTTTGTGTGTTTCTGTGTGCTGTGTATGCAGGGAGGGGAGGGCTTGGCGCTGGGGAGGGGTTTGAGTGGGGGAATTGGTGAGGGGATTGGGGTGGGTTGGAGTTTTGCAGGAGGGGAAGGGGAGTATGTGGGAGGGTTGATATCTACTTGAGGGGTTTTAGGTCGGTGGGAATGGGGTGTGGTGGGGAGTTGTTTGGGACTGACGTTTTTTGAACCGGGTTTGTTTGGGGGGAGAGGGATGCAAGGGGGAGGCGTAAGGAGGAGCGTGTTGATGCTTGTGAGGATGATGGAGGGGGGGTTGCTGCTACGGCTAGTCGGTGGGGAATGGCGGGTTTGAAGAAGGTCTTGCTGTTTTAGTATTGCTTGAAATAGTACGTCACTTTGGGTATGTACGTACATATAAGTCTACGAATCTTAGAATTGGTATGGGGAAAGGATATGGTGAGTCGAGAAGTGCAGGTTGAACTTGGATTGGTGGGTACGTTTTCCTCCAATAAGCGGAAGCATATCATAGACTATTTATATTGATGTCGAAACATGTATGGTTCATGTATCATAATAGATACCACGACAAGATACATTTCAGAACTGATCTCGCAACGATTCAGCTCGCCACTTCTTCTACGTCTCATTTTTCCGCAGATACCCAACCATTAAACCCTATGATTTTCTCCACGCATCCATCAAAGGTCAGAAACGACGCCCATATACACTCCATGTCGACTCTTTGGTCGTCTCGTTCAGCCATCGCTCCATGTGCCATGCTGTCTTTCCTTCTTTTACACTTGTTTCCTTTGATTCTTGGGTATTGTGCTGTTTTCATGTCAGTCATCGCTGCATCCATGTCTTTTATATATGCACGAACCAGCACAACTTGCTCACTGGAATTCGTGTTCCAACTGGCCGCTTTATTGATGCCATTGCTAGTTTGGGCATCCGGTGTTGGGTTGGATGAACTTTCTGGAGCAGACATGTGTTTGGTTTGGTAGTTTTGCATGGTGAGGAATAGGTTGTAGGCGAGAGATGTTTCAATCAAATTTTGAACATGGACTTCAAATGTATAATGTAGCTTGGTTTTTTGCTGCTTGTGTTGAGTTCGTACGTCTCACTCCATCTATATAGTTCTCATCTCCATATCCTATGGTTGATGTTGAGGGCCGCAAACTACACTCATGGTGAGTTTGATTCGCGGCCGCAATCTTCGTTCAGATGAGGACTGGACACTGTTGAGGGCTGCAATATAGGAGATCTTGATTGGAGGCCGCACCGTTTTTGTAGTGAAAGTAGAGCGGTTGAAAGTACCCAATGCTGGATTTGGGGCGTAGTCTAACGGCATTTTCAAACTATGACTGGTGGCCACAATGCTACATCCCATTTGACAGCGCTAGGCCCAAGTGGATGGGTGTCGTGATTTTTGCATGAGAGCATCAAGGTAGATAGGTCGGGCATGCTGGTTGGTGGCCGCAAATATCAGCCAATAGAATCACGGCATGAACCCCACTTTACCAAGCCCATTACAGCCTGCGACACCCTCAGAAGCGATACGAAAGAGGATGTTTTGGCATTTACCGTGGCTGATTCAGCCTTATTGTTCTAGTCTGACCCACATAGGTAGGTCATAGCGATTGGATGAGAAGTCAGGCCGCTGGATTGCGCTGAGCCATTGTTCAGCCTTGCTCCTCTCTCCCCATCATGTTTCAACCGGAGAAGAGCTTCTTGACGCTTGCTTTGTGGCTTAAAAACAAGTACAGGCGGAATATTGCAAGCTATCGTTCTCACTGCATTAGCCATGTTGTTTGCAATCCAGCCGCACACCTCTCATTCGCAGAGAAGCTTCTCCGAGTCTCGATTCGATTCCCAGATAAGAGAGCGGTGGGACCTGAGAACAAAAAAGCCCAGGGAGTCAACGGATATCTTATCCACTAAGAGATCATTTCGGGTAGAAGAAGAGTCCCTTCCACCAGATGTAGTGTCGGAAGATCAACCCTTGCCAATGCCACTGCTCGAGATGAAGATCGCTTTGAAGGTTTCCTTCGATAAATGCCGCTCACTGCTGGAAGACTTCGACCGCGAATTCAGAAGACCAAGGAGGCGTATCATCATGTCCAGTTTGGGGATATACTGGGATCCTTTGGATCCTTCGTATCATGTGCGATGTAGCCCGTCTTTTTCTGACGGTCAAAAATTCACAGTTTTGTTCTCTTATTCGATAAGTGATCTTAAGTGTTGCTATGATTATGGTACTATCGCCGATCCAGTTGAATGTACGATCTGGAAGAAATCGGAAGAGGCAAACCCGGAAAGCTATGAAAGGCAACAACAGGAGCTGCAGGAGAAACGACTGTGCTACAAACCACGTCACAGGAACAAGGTGCAAAAGGAGCCTTCCGGATTTACCAATGTTCTAACAAGACATGATACTATACTGGAGATTGTCGATAACCTCGAGCAAAATCCCTTGTCTTCGCTTCAAATCGAGACTAAGGTGGAGTGGCGTACGGCTCACGGCCGATCCTCACTCAAGAATTGGAGACGTGGAGCCGGAAAGAGTAAATCCTGGAAGCTATGTTCGAAAAGTACGGTGCCGAAACAGACTCGTCTCAATGCGAGCAGACGAAGCTCGAAAGGGGTGGTGTACCGTTCTGCACAGCCCCCACTATGGCTACCAGCTGCATTCATACGTTCTCAGACAGCAAAAAAGTCTTCATGGCCAGGCTATATGCTACGACGTCAAGATATCGATTCAGTTCCAAGGCGCGTAAGATGCCATGATCCCTATACCCATGACTTTGAGGATACGCCTATTTCCCAGCATGGAAAACACCATACAAAAGCAGCTCAAAAAGTCAAAACCTGGGAATCTGAATCAGAGATTGCTGAGGATATGAACGGAGAGCCTGCAGGTGCATTCATACGGTTTACATGGAAAGACAAAATCTTAACCAACAGAACCAGACAACTCGATCGGTTCTTATCAGCCAGTTCTATACTACATAGCTACTGGCATGTCACTGGTTTTCTCCGCAACGAAAGTTTCGCAGACGTCTATTCGCTAAGCAAACCTCCTTTCACTCCTTCGTCAGCAGAACCTGAAGCATCGCTAGAGGCCCACGTATTCCTTGACGAATACCATGGGAATTGCGCCGTCTACGCCAGTCGCTCGAAGAACCGCATGAGACAAAGCGGAAACTGTCTCGACACTTTCTGGCACAACGGCAGGCACGTATTCATCATGAAGATACCCAAGAAACCCACTCTATTCAAACTACGCAACTCAGAAGAAGATTTTCCTGTTCTTGTCGATAAAAACAAGTGCAATGAGCAGGTGGCTCTACAGCGTCGCCGTTTCCGCGGCAGACCTAGTTTTGCAGCGATGGCTGGAGGCGGATGGCCAAATGCAAATTCAGAGTTTCGACCGGTGCAGATGGACGAGAGAAAATCCCCGCTCGAGAAAGAGTTGGAAAGGATTGAAAAGGCGCGGATGAAGAAGGCAGAGCGGCAGAGAGTGAAACGGAAGTTGCAAAGGGAAGAAAGGCTTATGAAGAAGGAATGCAGATCGGCTATAGCGACGGCTTTTATGGTTGTTCATGAGTAACGTGTTTTACAAGCGAGCGGCGCGTACAAGCGAGCGGCGCACCCCACCAACTTTGCACACCTCTCTACGTATATAGCTCTACCATAACTAAATAAAATTTATATATATTAAGGTAGTAGATTAAACACCTGATCGCTCCCCTCCTTGACGCTCTTCATAAGCAATCTGCTGATCAGCCTCGCGCTGAGCGAGTAGATC